ATACAAGGTATTTTCATCAAAATGTTATGAGAATGAAAGCCAGACAAAATAAAAAGGAGGGTTATTATAAATAATTATGATGAAGGATGGTTAAAATTCTCCCATATAGAAAGTTTTAGTATGTCCCGTAAAATGTCACGGCTATATAAATTGCTAGATCCCTTGAATCTAAAAGCTTCCCCTTCGAAGGTTTTATTATTAAGAAAAATATGAGGGTGATAAAATCTTGCACCTGACTAAAGAGGGTTTGGAAACTATCGCAAAAAAGTTAAATCCTTTTTGGAGAGATATTTTTCTTAATCTGTCCAATTTGAGACCAAAAAAGGCGAAAAATAAAAACAATGTCATAAACATCTTGAGGCAACCCAATTATTTATAAAAATTACTGTAATGAGGGTATATGTTATTATAAATGATCTAATCTCAGATGAAAAACTGACATTTGAACAGCTTAAATCTAAGCATACAGTTAATACAAATATTTTTTTAATCTAATGGTCTTGTTAGTGCAATCAAGTAGCTAGAACAAATAATTTCAGTGCACGGTAGATTATATTTTATTGAAAATGTTATTGTACAAAAACCCAAAAACGATAAAAAAAAATACCATGTAAATATTTTTATCGATTGTTTCTAGAAAATTTTTAAAGAAAATTCTTCAAGATCACACTACAAATGGTCCGAGGATTTATGTGTTAAAATTGAAGATTGGGTAAAAATCTACTCAACTGCATTTCAAACAACAAAAACACCAAACTTTAAAAATGTCAGTTCAAGTTATTACCCAGACTTATAGGTACACACTTTTTTCTTATAAATGTGGATTAACAGAAACAGAAATGTGCACCTTTAGCACTGAAACCAAAGAAAGCTTATTGCATATCTTTTTGGGAATGTGTATACAGTAGACATATTTAGATTGCACTTCAAACCAATTATCAAACTGTGGATTTACCCTGAAACAGATCGATGCAAGGAAAGTTATTTTTGGTATTAGGGAATTGTTTACTCATATAACACAGTTCAACATATAATGTTGACTTCGAAATATTATATTTATATTGCTGTAAAAACATTCAGGGGAAAAACCTTCTCAGAATGGTAGTACTACAAATGTAAATATCTAAAATATTGTATCAGAAGAAAACATCATACGGTTAATTATTTATCCCCAACACACACAAAAAAAAAACAATATATATTATATAAAAATGGCTCCCATTAGAATCTGTCCTAGGGGATTTCAATATTGCATAACTGGTACAAAAGTTATTGTCATATTATTTTTGTTATTTAGAGTTAATGTAATAGAATAGACTTTTCAACTTATGTTTTTAGTTTGTTCATATGTTATGCTGTAACACCTAGTTTGGATTTCATTTACTGATAACAAAATCAATAATAATATCAATAAAAACAATATTCAAAGGTTTGATTACAGTGTTGAATTGGCAAAAAATTGAAAACAACACGTTAAATAATTTCATGCGTCCGAAGCGCTTTTCTGGATTTACCTTCATCAGGAACGCTCAAAGCCAAACATTTGAAATCCGAGGATGTACAAGTACCGAAACCGTTGAAGAGCTATATGACAAAAATACCTAAAATAAATAACCAAATTCATCCAAAGTCAACTTTGCATGAGGGAGTTGAAACCTTAGTTTCTTAATAATTTCAAAATTTAAAAACGGACAATTTTAGAAAAGTTTGTTAAATCATGTCAGTACCGAAGTACTGACTACTGAGCTGATGATACCCTCGGGGACTGATAGTCCACAAGCAGAGGTATCGACCCAGTGATGTAAAAATTAGAAAACAACACGTTAAATAATTTCATGCGTCCGAAGCGCTTTTCTGGATTTACCTTCATCAGGAACGCTCAAAGCCAAACATTTGAAATCCGAGGATGTATAAGTACCGAAACCGTTGAAGAGCTATATGACAAAAAATACCTAAAATAAATAGCCAAATTCATCCAAAGTCAACTTTGCCTGAGGGAGTTGAAACCTTAGTTTCTTGATAATTTCAAAATTTAAAAACGGACAATTTTAGAAAAGTTTGTTAAATCATGTCAGTACCGAAGTACTAACTACTGAGCTGATGATACCCTCGGGGACTGATAGTCCACCAGCAGAGGTATCGACCCAGTGATGTAAAAAATTGAAAACAACACGTTAAATAATTTCATGCGTCCGAAGCCTTTTAGAATAAGTTTAGTTTAAACATATTTCATTTGCTTAAATATGCAACAGGGATGAGACACAAGTTAATCAAACTTATAATGTCTTCTCCCATGAACATATATATTGGTTATGTAAAAAGATGATGTGTGATGATGTGAATGGTTGTACACAATATACATGTATATGCACTTTAGTGTGCTATATTACACAATTAGAAACCTCTTTGACTCTTTAATAAATTCATATACATTCTTTAAAATTCTTTCATTTTCATCATTAGTTAATGGGGAAGCATCGGAGGTTAAGATGTTCAAATTTAGTGGAGAGTTCTCAGATAAACAGTTCAGATTGTTAGATAGTTTGATTCTTATATTCGTATAATTAGGACATTCAAAAAAGAAGTGAAATGAATCTTCACGCTTAGCACCACAGCTACAAGACTAATCTGAAATTATATTGACTCTGTTAAGTTCATAATTCAAAAAGGAGGCTGAGCATCTAAGTTGAGTCAAAATGATGTTGAGTTTACGATTTCCAAATTCATAGTGTTTAGGTACTTGGGCTTTTGAATTCGGTTTAAGATTTTTTAATTCGGTTTTAAATTTACCTAAAGAGCCAATGTTGCGGGTCACCACATTAAGGTTATTCTACATTCGTATAGTTGAAGGTATGAAGGATTCTTGGGTCAATGAGAGTCTACAAAAAGGGTATATTATATCATTCCCATTACGTAAGGGGTAAACAGCTGTACTTTGGATAGTTGGTGGAATTAAATTGCAAAGATAGGCTGGTGCATTATTATGTTGAATATTATAAAATAATTGTAACTTCCTTCTTTCTCTTCGTTCAGCTAGAGTTTCCCAACCAATCTCATCATAAATAATTCTACTACTAGTAAAAATAAGTAGACCTGTTACGATTATGGCTGCCTCAAGCTGCAGCTGCTCTAATTTGTTAAAATAACCCACACCCATATTATCCCAAACAACACGGAGGTATTCGAGTAACGGTCTTATAAAAGTCAAGTATAGCTTATCTAATTTATTCCTACTGAATCTGTACTTTAATTTTCTAAGTACATTCAAATGTTTCGGTACATTTTTTATGATACTTTCCACATGGTTGTTCCATTTAGCATCTCTACTAAATGAAACACCCAAGTGTTTATGAAAATCTGTAACTTTAATATTCTTACCATTGAATATAAAATTCATTTCCGGATAAGTTTACACGGATCGTATCTAAATTTTCGGGATCAGTAAACAACATCTCTGTTAAAAATTAAGATGTGCTATCCCGTTTGAAATAAGTCTTCTACAGGTATAACTAAACTTCCAAATCAAATATCTGTATCTATAGAAGAATTTAGTAAATATCTTCAGTAATTTGTGGTAATGAAATCTCTGACTTGATAACTCCAGTCTTATGTATCATTTTATTTATTTAATAGTTTTCTCTGTACTTGTCTTTGTACTATAATGTTCCTTTTGTTCGTATGACTCTTGACGTGGCTCGGTGTTTGTACATCCAGCTTGTGAGATTTTATCAAATTCAGAGGGTAGATAAAGGCAACAGTAGTATACCGGTGTTCAAAAGTCATAAATCGACTGACAGAAAACAAATCCGGGTTACAAACTAAAACCGAGGAAAACACATCAACTATTAGAGGAAAACAAAGGAACAATAGGAACACCGAAGTGCAACAAAAACAAACGCCAGCACACATAGAAACGAACTATTTGATAACAACTCCCATATTCCATATTACAGGACATTTTAAGAAAAAATGGTGGGTTGAACCTGGTTTCATGGCATGCCAAACCTCCCGCTTTATGACAATGTTAAAAAAATATCGCTAAAACACTACGTGACAGAAATACAGCACAAACACACGCAAGAACATTCATAACAGAGAATCGCAAAAACAAATAATATAATAGTCGACACAACATGCAAAACACAGAACAACAACGAACAAATTCCATCAACGAAGAACACCACAGGATATCAAACACAGTGACGCGCTTTATACCAAGATACACCTCGTCATTAGTGTGCAATCTATTAAAAGCGTATATTCAAGGTGAAAAGTAATTTTCCAGACACGAAATGCAATCAAGTCAATTATTTAACATAGAACAGACAACAACAGAAGGTCACCAACAGGTCTTCAATGCAGCGAGAAATTCCCGCACCCGGAGGCGTCCTTCAGCTGGCCCTTAACAAATATATATACTAGTTCAGTGATAATGAACGCCATACTAAACTCCAAATTGTACACAAGAAACTAAAATTAAAAATAATACAAGACTAACAAAGGCTAGAGGCTCCTGACTTGGGACAAGCGCAAAAATGCGGCGGGGTTAAACATGTTTATGAGATCTCAACCCTCCCCCTATACCTCTAGCCAATGTAGAAAAGTAAACGCATAACAATACGCACATTAAAATTCAGTTCAAGAGAAGTCCGAGTCTGATGTCAGAAGATGTAACCAAAGAAAATAAACAAAATGACAATAATACATAAATAACAACAGACTACTAGCAGTTAACTGACATGCCAGCTCCAGACTTCAATTAAACTGATTGAAAGATTATGTCATATGAATATCAGGCACAATCCTTCCCGTTAGGGGTTTAGTATCATACCATCATAACATATATGAGAAGAACATAACCCGTGTCATGCCAACAACTGGTTTTTAAATAAATGTGTTTAGTGCCGATGCAAGGAATACACAAGCAAACACCAAAGTCCAAACTGGGGGGAAATTGTGTTTCACTTGTCCCGGACACACAGACAGACAAATGGACGACCAAATGCTAACCTTGATTTATTGACAAAAATGTATAAACAAATATAATACAAACTTAAGTTTCTGAAATGGTATTTACCAGGTACACTCGAGCAAATAAGTGTCATCTTTTCTGATTAAATGTGTTATCGAGTAAAATATTCTCATACGCACTCATGAAAGTATATACAAATTTAAAGTGCCACTGGCTTGAATAATATCAAAACTATAACGAACAAAATGAAGCTGACAGAGTTAAGATGAAGTATCACTGCCATTCCTGTCCATTTACATCCCTATACAGTGTAACATGACGAGTAGATTCAGGAGCATACAAAGAAGGCTTGGTAACATTTCGTTTACTCCATTACCTGTAAATGGGAAGCCATATTATCAATTGTAAACAATTCAACCTAGTAAAATGAAAACTACATAAGACGTACGATTTGTCTCTGTGTCTCTACATTAACTAATACTTCATTATCGTTTCGTATTACTGAATACTTGGACTTTCAACAGCTATTCGACTGAGATGACTTATACTTTATTCTGCAATACAACTGCAAATTAGATAAAAAGCATTGTACATATTTTAAAATGTAATGTTGTATTATAGATGTTGTGAAGTCATAAAACAGCCATTTATTACGTCCTCATAGCCGTGATTTGAGATCTCTCAATAATACTACGGCAGATCACAACAAACCAATCATCACTAGAATTGATCATACCACGACTTGGTCTATTAAAAAGGGAAACCTTCGAAAAATATATTGGATACAGAAATTAAAATAATTCACATCAGACGAATACATTAGGAGAGGTAGTTCTCAAGGGTTTGCACTATCTACATATTCGTAGTTATAGAGCAGAGGGAGGTGTAAACGCAACACGACGGGACTTTGCTCAAGAAATATCGGACTATTTAAAACTGACTGTAATGTCAGTGAGATATATAGCATGTGTCTGTTTAAAGTCGAATGACTACTAAATAATCCTTATCCAGTTTTTCCTAAAAAAAAAAAATTTTAAAAAGCCATAAGCCAATATTTTACCGCTACCCTTTATGCTAGAAATGTTTTTATTTTTTTTTTATTAACGTCGATAACGTCGATACGTTCAAGATGATTCAATTAAAATACGACATGAACATTACATTTTAGTAAATATATTCTGATTTAATTCATGCGTATTTTCCAAAATTGGTAATACATTGACTCTTAAAGTTTCTCAAGTGTTACTGTAAATGTGTATTCATTTTTTTCGAGCTTACTTTGTGTACTTGAAAATGAAATAAGAATAATCTTACATTCACCGTTAAAGTTTACGCCTTCATCACACATGCATTTGTATACATTTTTGACGATTTGGCATGATGCATTGTCAACACATTGGAGTTCGTGTCCACCAATTTCACAATCATCGTTTTCGGCCTTCCCTAAATTTTGAAAAAAAATATATTGTTATCAACTTACTGTTTCAATATCAAAAACCAGAACACATTAAAATAATTTAGAGATTTCTGAATTTGATAAGGGACTTTCCGTTTAGAATTTTTCTTGGAACAAATACGGTATTTTTGTTATTTACTTTTTTTCTATTTTTTTTTTTTTTTTTTTTTTTTTGACGGAACTGTTTTTTTTTGGAAATTAAACTTTGTGGATTATAGAACGAGTATTTTTAAATGTCATCGAATTATCATAGCAACGAAACACAAGTACCATCATCAGATGAACAATATGACTGACTTGATCCTACAACGCCTGTGAATATATTCCATAGAGCAACCAAATGTGTGACCTTAATATGTTATCCCCTACGACAGATATATTAAAAAACTACGATATTCCCTGATTAAATTCCTAACTTTGGGTAAGGACATGAACATGTGATGGTTAACGCCATTTATGTGTATAATAAACGTTGTCCCATTTCACACATACAATTAGTTGAAGAGGAAATTATACAATCAAAAACGCACAATATAAGTCAACGCAAAAGAAAGCAATAAATAAAGGCAACAGTAGTATACCGCTGTTCAAAATTCATAAATCGATTGAGAAAAAAACAAATCCGGGTTACAAACTAAAACTGAGGGAAACACATCATATAATTATATAAGAGGAGAACTACGACACAACAGAAACACTACATTAAAATGTAACCCACACAGAAACGAACTATAATATAACAATGGCCATTTTCATGACTTGGTACAGGAGATTTTAAGAAAAAAATGGTGGGTTGAACCTGGTTTTGTGGCTAGCCAAACCTCGCACTTTTATGGCAATGTTAAATATAACACAAAAATGACACCATTACATGACATGAATACAGTACAACATTACGGACAGAGAATTACGCAAATAAACAATACAATATAGTACATTTGGACAACGAAACAACAGAAACACTGAAGTGAACAAACAACAAACGACAATGCAACACACACAGAAACAAACTATACGATAACAATTGCCATTTTCCTGACTTGGTACAGGACATTTTTAAGAAAAAAATGGTGGGTTGAACCTGATTGTGTGGCTAGCCAAACCTCCCGCTTTTATGGCAATGTTAAATATAACATTAAAATGACAACATTACATGACAGGACTACAATACAAATAAATGGGAGAACATATAGGACAGAGAAACATACGAATAATAGCTAACAAAAGGTACCAGGTTTAAAATTTAATACGCAAGACGCGCGTTTCGTCCACACAAGACTAACCAGTGACGCTCAGATCAAAAAAGGGGGTCGAAAGCCAAAACAAGTACAAAGTTGAAGAGCATTGAGGACCAAAATTCCAAAAGGTTGTGCCAAATACGGCTTTGGTTATATGTCTGGGATAAGAAAATCCTTAGTATTTAGAATAATTCATACTTTTGCAAACACTAAATTATAAAAATGACTATATATTAGATATGCATGATAACACCGAAGTGGTGACTAACTACAGAATAAAAACGGATACATAAAACAACATAAACCAGCACATAAAAATTCACAGCCGAGGTAGCCAAAGAGATCAACGCAAAAAATAAAAAAAACGTGACGTCACATATGAATTTCTGAAATTTCCCCAAAAATAGGATAGAATTAGGATATGATTCAAGATTTGGTTTATAATACTCATATAACATTCATTAATAACAATGAAAATTACAATACTAATTAATATAAAATGTGGTAGTAATTAGATAATTAATAGTATTATCTAGCTATGTCGGTGTTTCTTCTAATTCAAACTGTAAACCAAATATATCGTATAAATTTAGTTGACCCTAACTAAAATCTAATTAATGAACTGGGTGATTAGTTATTATCATTATACATTCAAAATTCAATTAAAGTTATGCTTTTACTATACATACTGGGTAGGCATTCGCTATTGCTGTTATAATGTGTTGTTTTACACACACATTTGAAAACACCTGACATATCATTGTCACATTCTGCGTTATTGTCAGCGCATTGGTCAATAGATTCCGGTTGACAGCTGGTTTCAAGTCCAATCTCTAGAAAAGGGAAAACAACATTGTTATTCCCTGATTTTACTTTGAGTTTAGAATTCAACTAATGTCAGCGTTTTAGATCTTTAAAGATTGAGTAATTGACGGAGTCCAAAATAATTGTTCTTTCACCTGCATTGAAAGCACACGTTTTGCTATAATACATGTGTTCATTGTACACAAACGTTGTTAGTATCCAATGCTATGAATTTGATTTTTAATGGATGAAATATGTGATAAATCAAATATATTTCAAAAGTTAAAAAGAAAGCACACACATTAAATTTGGATATTTATAAAATACAATAAAATAACAATGTACTGTAGTAGGTTGCTGTTTTGGTAAGGATACCAAGAGTCGATGAATGATAAATAAAGGCAACAGTAGTATACCGGTGTTCAAAAGTCATAAATCGATTGACAGAAAACAAATCCGGGTTACAAACGAAAACTGAGGGAAACACATTAACTATAAGAGGAAAACAAAGGAACAACAGGAATACCGAAGTGCAACAAAAACAAACGTCAACACACATAGAAACGAACTATTTGATAACAACTCCCATATTCCTGACTTGGTACAGAACATTTTAAGAAAAAATTTGTTGGTTTAACCTGGTTTCATGGAATGTCAATCCTCCCGCTTTATGACAATGTTAAACAAATATCGCTAAAACACTACGTGATAGAAATACAGCACAAACACACACAAGACCATTCATAACAGAGAAACGCACAAACAAATAATATAATAGTCGACACAACATGCAAACCACAGAACAACAACGAACATATTCCATCAACTAAAAACACCACAGGATATCAGTGATAAAATGTACCAAACGTCGAGGGGAGATAAAATGTACCAAACGTCGAGGGGAGATAAAATGTACCAAACGTCGAGGGGATATCAAATTTACCAAAAGTCGATGAATGATAAAATTAACCAAAAGTAGAGGAATGATAAAATGTACCAAAAGTTGAGGGGAGATAAAATGTACCAAAGGTCGAGGAATGATCAAAATTACCAACAGTCGAGTGGAAATAAAATGTACCAAACGTCGAGGAAAGATAAAATTTACTAAAAGTCGAGGGAAGATAAAATGTACCAAAAAGAAAAATCACAAAAATACGGAACTCCGAGGAAAATTCAATCGGAAATTCCCTAATCACATGGCAAAATCAAATGACAAAACACATCAAACGAAATGGACAACAACTGTCATATTCCTGACTTGGTACAGGCATTTTCAAATGAAGAAAATGGTGGATTGAACCTGGTTTTATAGCGCTAAACCTCTCACTTGTACGACAGTCTCATCAAATTCCGTTATATTTACAACGATGCGTGAACAAAACAGACATTATAAATAAAATAGTCAAAATATGGGCACAGCAGTCATCACTATGTTACAATATCAAAACAAATAAATTATTTACAAAAAAGCACAAAAGCATCCATCAAATTAAAAACCACATTCATTGCTTCGCGTGTCTGACGTCAGAAAATGTAAACGTCACATAAGAAGAAATTTTGTCATTCAATGTTTATTCAAAACAATTTTATAATTTCACATGGGAAATGTTGGTATACAGGGTTAAAAAATCAAAAGTTATGTTAGAATTAATTTCAGAAATAGACCGAGATTTAAAATTGTCCAGAAGTTCTTTAGAATTTTTAAGAATCCACATATGGTTAATACCACTACGCGAGTAAAATAAATTTGTCGTTTGTCGTTCAAAGTATTTTCAAATTTATAATAGAACAATAACATAATGACATATAATAGAACAATAACATAATGACATATAATAGAACAATAACATAATGTACAGAGTCACGTAATAAGAACCACAGAAACACAAAAAGTCGCATATAAAAAACACACCAGCAAAAATGAAAGATACAAACACATTGACGGGATGTATAAGTACCTAGCCACGTCAAATGGATATCACAGAAAACAAACCAAACAGTAAAAGTAATATTAATAATAGAACAAAGACAAATGAAAGAACAATATAACACGTTGTTAAGATGATAAACAACGTCAGTACGCAGAATCTATACTTCAAGACCATCATGTATTATTTGTGAAGTTGATACGGAATATTTATCAACAAGGTCTTGGTACCTTCCGCTGAACTTTTTTAGAAAAAGGACGAGACGTTCTTTGACATACCCCTGGTTCATCAACTTTCTGCTCAGACACTGGTGACGTTTTACAAAGTCTGAGTAGGAGCTGCAAGCTCTTGAATATCGAATAAGTTGGGAAATGTATATCCCATATGCAGGTGAAGTTGGTATATATTGCTACTAAGGTGGATGAAATTTATAATTTTAAAATTAAAATCGTCTCGTTTGTCATAGATTCTGGTACTGAGATGACTGTGTATGTCAAATTCGAGATATAAGTCTAAAAATGAGGCGGAGGAAGCCGTGACTGTTGTTTCTTTAATTTCTAGTTCTGGGGGATATATTAATGGAACCCAATCAGAAAAGTTCGGATTGTTAATGGAAAGAACATCATCAATATAACTAAAAGTGAAATTAAATAATCTGGCTTCTTTGATCTTCTTGTTTTTGACAAGGGTCTGAAGGAACTCCGATTCATATGAAAATAAGAAGAGGTCGGCAAGGAGAGGCGCACAGTTCGTTCCCATAGGAATGCCGACAATTTGTTGAAAAGTCTACCTCCAAATTCAACAAATATGTTGTCGATAAGAAACTCCAGCATACTGATCACTTGTTCTTCTGTGTAGCATGTTTTACCCTTTTGTTCACTATTAACAAAATATGCCTTATGATATCCCAAAGTAATAAATTTATAGCGTATGCTACCATTTTTATGATGAAATGCATTGTGGATTCATTAGAAGATAAAGGTTATTGCACTAACTTAAAGTCCTGCATTGTAATGATTATGTTTCCTTTCTTTTCGATAAACATTCATCAAAACAACTGCGAGTAAAGTGTTGTACATCATCTTAAAACGTTGAAGTGTTGCATGTTGGCTTGTGTTAAGATAGAGACTAACATTACTTACTAGCATGGCATATGTTTGTGTCGGTGTCTTTAAAGAAGCCAGGCTTACATTGACAAAGGTTTTCGATGCAGTTAGTATTTGGATCGCTGTATTCCGTTGTGACTGTGAATTCCTTTTCAGTTGAAGTTTCTGTATTTAGATTTAATTGACAATATTATATTTTGCATATTATTTAAAACAATTTCAATTGATTGCCATCTAAAGTGTTCATCCATGCTTAATTGAGTGTTTTTGTTGTCGGTAAGATAAAAAGTAAATAAAAAAATATCAAACTTAAAGAAATATTCAAAACGGAAAGTCCCTTCAAAAATATCAAAATCAAAAGCTCAAACACATCAAACGAATGGAAAACAATTGTCATCCTTCTTTTTTAACTTAAACAATAAGATTACAATAACACTATTGAGGTACTGTTTTCTATTCAGAAGGATATTAGCAAATTGATACACTGTATCACTCAATGCAATTCAATATGTTCATTGTGTTTTGACATTTAAATATTTAAACATATGTAGCACATATATTGACATTTTACTACACAGTTTTTTTCCACTTGTAATGATAATTTTAGGTGAAAGCTATCAACAAAATGTAAAACCTTATTACAGGGTTTGGTGTGTATTAATCATAATATAATTATCAGATACATCTGTTTGACATATTGGACATTTTCAAAGCTAAGATCGCGTTTCTGATTTAATCCTTGCAGTGTTACAAAAACAAAACAGACTAAGGTATGGCTAAAAAAAAAGACCAATAGACAAACAAAGTACACAAAACACAACAGGAAAACTAAAAATAGGGTTGATCTCAGGTGCTCCGGAAGGGTAAGCAAAACGTTTATAACTTGGAGGTCATTTCCCGTATAATAATAATGAAAGATTGAGTGTCTTGAATACCTATGACATACGTTTTAAAAAGGTACCGATATTTTTAAGATGAATTTCTGGCTTCTTTTTCCCAATTGATTGTCACTTTTAGAAATATCACAGTTGATATATGCCAAGAATCTTGTTCTCATTTCCATGTTGAAGGCTTGTCATGACTAACATATTAGGTGAGTGAAGCAGTAACCTGTTGTCCATCAAATCCACCTAATCTCGATCAAATGTATTGGTGGAGTTACTGAATCTTGAGTTATTTTCTGTTGAGCCTTTTGTTAACTGTTATTAGGGAAAAGAATGTCATGATCCCATCTTAGCAATTCAAACTCAATTTAAGATGTTAACTCTCGTTACACAAACATGTATTTGATTATATTATTTACAAAAGTTACATACTTGGAATACAAACGTCATTGCTGGTCTGGTAATGCGTTGTTTTACATAGACATTTAATGGTACCATCAATATCATCTCTACATTCAGCATCAGGTACCGCACATTGGTCAATAAACACATCGTTTGTGCTACTTGTTGTACAACTACTTCCTAATGTATTCTCTAGAAATATCAAACACTGCCATGATATTTTAAAAGAAGCTTTTGAAAACATGTAAACATGCATTTTAAGGCAGCATCAATTTGTAAAAGTAATAATAAAATAAAGCATAATTAGGTGAACAAACGGTTTATGCGTTTGTTATTACATTATGTTCATCTTCTGTTGCAGCTTTACATAATGAAAATGTAGTGTAAGCTAACCTATAACTACCAATACATCGGCACACATCCTTAAGGTATAGAACCACTAATTCGGCCCAGTCAGAAAGACCATACATGAAAGTAGTACATATTTTAAACAAAATAGTTCCTACGCATAGCTGTAACTTTGTCAATAATTGAAATATTTAGGTAATTATGTTTTCAAATGAAAGCTTAAGGACTTGGATCACTGTAGAACCATTGTTAAAAGTTTCTTTTGAATAATAAAAAAGTATATGAAATTAAGATAGGAGGGCATATTTGCCCTGATGCTCAGATCAGAAATACCTGTTTTTGTACTACCCAACTTTAGGGAACCAGTGCGCTCTAATATGCAAATAAAGGTATGTAGATTTTTTTAGCACAAGTCAGGATAAGGTATAGTTTTGGCATGAAATGATTATCACTTTATCTAAACTTATGATAAAATAGCTATGCATGCTTGACGTTGCAGAATTTAACATAGAATGCAAGGGAGCTATGAATTAGTGATGTTATTCCTTAAGAGTACTTTTCAAGCAATAGCCGATTCTTTGTTACTGCTATAAATTACAATATATTTATAATGTAGCTGTATTAAACTGACACAGCGATGTTCACTTAAGACGGATTGAACTATTGTATTCATACGCTTTAGCTTTTCGATGCACCTAAAGTTTTTGTATTTTAATTTGTCAAACATTGGGTAACAGGGGTACCTGATAAAAGCTATTCAAGTAACGCGTGCTGTGCGCACTGAAATCGGCGTAATATTGCTACCACTTGACCGATATTGATAATGGTGGACTGCTAGTGTCCCACACTACCCTCTGAAAACGTAGCCTCTGTTTCGCTAATTTTGTGATTAGGTTTATCCCATAAAAACGGGCTAGTAAAATAATTTTAGTTTTGAAAGGGTATTTTGATCATAAATAAAGGCAACATTAGTATACCGTTGTTCAAAAGTCATAAATCGATTGAGAGAAAACAAATCCGGGTTACAAACTAAAATCGAGGAAAACACATCAACTATAAGATCATCTAAAAAGTCTAAAACTAAAAACATTATTTCTTTTGAAAATATTTAGCTTTTTTAAATTTTGAATACACTCAAGCTTGATTTCTGGTTTCCTTCTATGCAAAATTAACCTAGGATATAAATGAACACAAAATTCTTAATTGTCAATTTAAGTATTTCGTTTTGAATTTTTTTGTAACAATTTTTTTGTTTTGTATTTGATTAAGCCTTCCAACTGTACCGAATTATTAATTTGTATTAATATATATTCTGCAGTGCATAGGTATAATATTATTAAGGCAAACATACATCTTTTTTCTAGATTTGATTATGATTATTAAATATATATTGTTTTTTTAATTCATAGTATACATATTAAAATCATTACCATTTTTATACTGGCATTTGTTTATTCCATCCACCTTTTTACAAACCGTTTTTTCTACACACTGATGTTCATGTCCTCCCTCTTCACACACTTTATTCTCCGAAAGTCCTTGAATACATAAAACAATGATCTATTCATTTTATAGTTCGAGATTAGAAACATAACGTAAGTAAATAATGTAAAAACATGGGGACGACCAATAAAGATATTTCAGTATTTCTATCACGGAAGCAGCTACACTGTTTCTTGTTACTAAATGCCAATGACTGTCATTCAATTATAGATATAGATGAACTAATTGTATTTTTGCAGTGAAAGAATTTTTATAAACAAAAAATTTACTTTGATCCATGTCCGTAACATCGCATGCAATCATCACACTTCTAGTACACTAGTCGACTACACCGACTTATGTATGAATAGAGTAAAATAACAAAAATACTCCAAGGAAAATTGAAAATGGAAAGTCCCTTATCAAATGGCAAAATCAAAAGCTCAAACACATCAAAAGAATGGAAAACAACTGTCATACTCCTGTCTTGGTACAGGCATTTCTTAATGCAGAAAATGAATACATATATGCAACTACATCCATATGCAATTTCGCCCAGTCCATAAATACTAATTTGCAGTAACGTCCTGACCATAAATATACATATTGTATGTATGAAATGTTGTCCTGTCAGTGCATACATTTATGCCACTTCGCCCTGTACATAAATAAAGCAAAAGTAGTATACCACTAGTACATACACTCTATATACATTATACATACTTGGCACACATTCATTTCCTACTTTGTAATGTGTTGTTTTACATAGACATTTATTTGTATCAAATATATTGCCCCTGCACTCAGCATTAACGTCAGCGCATTGGTTTAAATTTTCTTTGGAACATGTACTCCCTAATGCAAATTCTAAAAACAATAGATATGAAAATTAATTCTGCATTGATAGTTATTTTCATGATCACACAATTAGTAGTTGCAGTTATCGTAGTGGTAATGGTTGTTATAGTAGTAGTATGCGCGTGACAGTGGCGGTGTTCTACACAAAATAAAGTCCCAGTGCTATAATTTGAGTGGTTAACCGCAAATCGAGTCATCTTTTTTCTCGTATCTTATACAAAGTTGAGACGTAATCATATACACAATTCAGATTGCTTTACACAATACTCAGAGTTAAAATTTAAAAAGAACTGAAGGTTGTATGTTAGATTTATGCGTATGAAAAGAACTGCAAAGAAAGATGACGATAATTTGGAGAGAGAAAAAAATCACAATAAAACAGAATATACTAAGGAAACAAGCTTTACTAGTGACGTCCTTTGTGTTGCTTTTAGCAAGTAATCATTCGGTTATAAATCACATTCGTTAAAGTCATAATCGGAGACAAAAGGACTTATGTATCACTATTTAATAGATAACTGGTTTATTTGAAATAAGCAAATATCTCGAATGAACCAGAATAAATCAACTTAGTTTCATAGACTAATATCATGCAATGCGGTATTTTGCAATTAAAAAATCTTGTGTGGAACAGATGTAATTAAAATATGATTACCAGCAAATTACTTACAGCTAAGGTAAAGAGAAATTGTAAAAACAACTTGCTGACATCATTTTTATGGCAACAAAACATTGGATGGTAAAATCTAGTTTTATTGAAAGTAATTTGAAAATTAAAATCTTTTTTGTGGTATACAATCATCGACGTTTCTCAAAAAAGCTAGTTGACCCCTAAGATATATCTGTTACCATTATCACAAATAGGGTTCCAATAAAGTGATCTCTTCTAATTTAAACGTGAAAGGACTTTACGTGCTATTCTTGTTGTCCCAACCAATAACATTTCAGGTAATGGTACAACACGTTAAAATGATTTCGCACTTACATGTGGAAATTTATTTCTCTAATGAAAGAGAGAATAAAAAAGTAAAAGTTGTTCGCTGGTGGAAATTAACAGTTATAGGTCAAAGGACAGACAAAATCATACAGAGGAGAAAAACACACCACAAACTAAGACAAAAGACGTTCCAGGTTGAATATTCCAAAAACGATGCAACATTTTTTTACACCTAAATAGATGTTTCAATTCAGCATAAGCTTTTAATCAAACAGAACAAATTGAGTCCAGAAAAAATTCAGAAAAAAATTTACTATTTTATTTCACTCCATGTTTTGACATGCACCGGAAACTGGAGTTGTAACACAAGACTGGTACATTAATTTATCTTTACCAAATAAAAGCTTTTATGAATACAGCAATCCTCTATCAAACAAATCCAGATGGGAAACACATTGTGTCAAGCTCTGTTATATTGTATTAAATAAGAGATTTATTATATAAACCCCAAATGCAGAAGCCGTTGGAAGATTTTTTTTATACTAAAATATGCAAACTTCACAAGGAAACACTGAAGTGATTCATTTGCTGTTCAATTCTCATCCGGAAAGCTGTTAAAACACAGTCGCCATTTTATTTATTTCGTGAAAGCGCAACCATAACGTAAAAGAAAATAAAGGGATAATAGTTTGTTTTTCAGTATGAAAAATCTATCCTGTACGAATAAAAAAAAACAAGTCAGCAAGAAGATATGCACAGCTGCTTTATCTGTGCTACCCGGTCTCACACCTTTGAAATACAAAATGATTCCCTCAAGTCTTGTATGTAACCTTCATTTGTATCTTCTTAATTGATTTGAACATTGGTAAACTTCTTTTACCTAAATTTATTTTAAGAATAAAGCCCGTCTGCAAAAACAAGTCTATACCCCTAAAATACCAAATATTTGTTTAAATGAGGATAGAAAATTTTGATTATTCAGAATCAGATAAATAATTAACGGAACCAGAAAGAAATATACAATGATATGATATCAATGTAAAGAAATGTACATACTTTCTGTACACGTATTAGCGTTGTTGGTATCCTCGAATAAGCCAGCTTTACATGTACATACATGATCAACACATTCAGCTTGAGTGTCGTTACATTGGTAAGTATGCGTACAATCGGCACCATTTGCCTTCTCTTTATCAAAATATAAACAAAAAATATGTATTAATATATAATATAATGTAAAAGAGAGGCGAAAGATACCAAAGGGACATTCAAAATCATAAGTCGAAAACAAACCGATAATGCCATGGCAACAATCGAAAAACGACGAAAAGATAAACAGTACACAAAACACAACATGGAAAACTAAAGACTGATCTACACGAACCCTACCATAAACCTGGGGTAATCTCAGGTGCATATAAATGTTTGATGCATGTCTATATACTATTGCTTCAATAACACAGCGAATATACGTCCTTAGATTTTGTTTAACGTATGTGATAAAACACATGTTTTGCCATTCAGTCAATAACGTGGTATAACTAAGATAAGAATATGAGACTTTTATTATAAGTAATATGATGTATGATTTAAAAAAGAGATACAAAAAAGTCCCTTGAAAATGGACCAAATTGCACAAAAATTATTAACTTGCTCAATTATGCAACAATATCATGCGCTGAGTTCATATCCGTTTCGTACATGCTCCGATTTATTCCACTTTATAACATCTGAAATAAGAATGACTAACCCGATGACGAAAAGAGTTAAGGAAAATGAAATAAGCTCGTAGAGATAAATAAAAAAAAATATAAAGGCTGACATGGTGACTTCCTATCGTGGTAATAAGTGTTTTCCAGTTTAAGTTCAACATATCTAATGACTGATTGTACATGTACATGTGTAAGGTCAGCCGATTTTCAACGCATCCTCAAAGTGCAATATGTATACGCCTGACGATCGCGAGTTCCCATTTGTTTCAAATATAAGATAACAACAGTCAAATCAACGATCGGTAATACAGCATCGACACTGATATACATGACGAATGGAGAAAAAGTTCCGTTCTTTCTCTCGAAAATTGTTGGTAGGTTTAACTGAGCATGTGCGTTTGCTGTCACTTGATGTACCACATTTTAACCCACATCCTTAATTTTATTTTCAGCATTTTCACAAAAATACTAACATATTCAGTGGAGAATTGACGAACAACAAAAAATTGACCTCTATATCTGTTTGTGGGTTACAGAGATACAGTAACGCCTCAAACTTGTCTAGACATCGACAATTTAAAACACACAATCCAAGTAAAAAGAAGATTTCCAAAACGTTCAAATCGGACATAATAAGATTCTTAAACCCTTAAACTCTTAAATTGGAGTCAATTTCACACAAAAAAAACTTACGACAAATATTGATCGTAAAGTCATGAACAATTCAGTATACTTACGATCAATCTTAATCGTGTAAGTTTTTTTTTTGTGAAACCGACTGCTTGTGTATAGCTGTATCAGTGGCAATCATACTACATCTCCTTAATTTATATAAGACATTTCTATGGAAAGATCATTACATGTATATGCTTGCTAATGTTGATAGATACAATGTAAATGACCATTACCAATTTTAATACAGCTCCAAATGACAATAACTACAAGATTCATTAAGTCTTGTGAAAGGAAAACTATGCTAAGTATACGCTGATATTTGTGTCTACGTCTTTTTGATTAGTTGAAAGAAACCTAATCTTTGTTAAATGTTTTATTCAATTTTATATATATTTTTTTCTACCAACTATCACTTGGTTGTCCTTATAATTGATCATGGAAACGTAATTTATTGATTGATTAATTCATTGTTGGTTGCTTAACGTCCAGTGGCAAATATTTCATGCATGTTCAGGACGAGAACAAATTAACAATAAAAACAATGGGTAGAACCAGTAATAGAGGCCGTCTGTGGATGAAGGTCAGAGAAATTTAGACTGCCACTGGAAAATGAGGGTATATTGGATAGGGACATAAATTTTGCCTTGCAGTAGACCATCTACGGATCCCTCAAAGAGTTGTTGCAAGGGGATTCTTAATGAGCAAAGAGCGTGACACTTTCTCTACTCGAGGCATCGGATTTAACGTCCCCATTCTGACCGGACATGACTGCGTACTTGAACATCCCGAACAGACAAACGGAGTCCCAACGTTGGGAAGGGGTTTACTGCCGGTCGGATGAAGACCAAGAGTGACCATATTTATATTCTTCAGTCACCCTTGGGGCTGAAACGTAATTAAAATCATATAATATATGTATGTAAATCTCTCTGGTCTAACTTGTTTTTATCATGAAAATGTTTTGTATTATTTATTAGTAGTGTTATCTACTCATTACACAACTTACTTGAAATACACAGTTCGTCATTAACTTTATAATGTGTTTGAAGACAATAACACACGGCGTCAATACACTCAGAGTTTTCAATATAACAATAATGCGTATTATCAGGACAGAAGCCAACCACGCCTTCTTCTAAAATTTTAAAATATTTTTACTTCCAATTTGATTGGAACATTCACCCCTTATTTCAAACGTATGAGACTATGACAAATATTACTTTATGTATAGAAATGCAATTTAAATTATATTCTTTAAGTATCAAAATTTCTTCGGCGTTCTAGCTTATAAGCTTCTTCTCTTTGATGAGATTGTGCATCACCAGCCCAGTGGATAGTGGTTGAATAGAATATCATTGATTCGATCATTTTGTTTGTAAAATAACTCTTCATTAAAATGTTTTGCTAACCCCAGACACAAATGGCCTTTACCATGTTTGACATAAACACGAATTCCACCAAAAACAACAGGTGTGACCACAATTAAGTGAAACATTGTGAAAGCTGTAATAATTTGTTTATTATTATTTCAAAAACCCTGTGTTCGGCAGAAATTTCGAAACCATTTTGTGTTTATATGTAAACAACTGTGATGACTCCAGTTAAAGAAGATTGAAATATCAGACTTTCACAAAAACAACAAACGAACAAAAAACCCTAACAAAAAGCATTCACAAATATTGCAATGTTCAATATGAATTCCTACCAAAATCGGCAGTATTTCAGTGTTCCAAAAGGAATTCGAAGTGACTTTCCTCACAGCCTTTGTATACTTAAACTTGGACCGTCTTAAACATGCAGTGAGGTGAGAGGTTGTTTTATTTAACTTCGTGTTAAAGGCATCACTGTGACTTTGAGATGAAGGACAGCAATAAAAGCGCTATTCCTTTGCTTTTTTGTATGTTTTTTGCTGTGCATGTACTGATTTTGTGTCATGGATGGATATCCCATATCCTTTGTTTTTTTCTATTAGTGTTCAAAGCCGATTATACGTCAGGGTTACTAAAATGAAACAGAAAAGTTGTTAATGTCTGTGTCATTTGGTCTCTTGTGGAGAGTTGTCTCATTGGCAATCATACCGCATCTTCTCATTTTTATATAGAGCCAATTAATGAATATTTGTCCAACTAACTGTAGAGTATGAATCAAAGACAAGAGTGTGGATATCTACAAATTTCTTATACTTACTGTGATTCTATTGTTTTAATGGTCAGTGAAAAAGATTATTTTGGATGGCGTCCGTTTTAATGGAATATGTACATTAAAATATTATGCAGCAGTTTTCTGTGAATACCAATTAGTACAACAATAACGCTTTTTTCCGCCATATTTAGTATAAATAGCCATAAAAATACGGGTGAGAATAAAACACTGGTGTGTTTAAAAGATTTAAAAGTCAGAATAAACTTACTCTTTGTACATGAATTCCTTGTTGATATCTTCAAAGAATCCAGTCTTACATTTACATACATCATCTGTACAGTCCGCATTTGTGTCATCGCACTGAACTGTTTCAGAGCAGGATTCTCCGTTAGAGATTTCTAAATGGAATAAACACGCAAGATAAATATAAGTTGTTTTATTTGATTTATAAAATGCAAATTAATAAGATAAATAATTGTAAATGAATAAGATAAATCATTGTAAATTAATAAGATTAATCATTGTAAATCAAAATATATAACATATAATCTTTTATTAGATTTTTCTTAATTAGTGTACGCATCTTTATGTCTTAGGGTACCCGTGTATATGTTAGCACTGTCAAAACTTTTGACACTGAGCGTCGTCTCGCATAAAATGCTTTTGGTCATAGAAAGTAGAAACACTTTACGTTGACATGCGGTATTACAAGTAAACAAATCTACAAAAATCATAGTCTAAATAATAAGTAATTGTCACCATTCTAGAATAAAAGTTATTGAGATTTTCAAGTTACCAGTTTGGGGATTATTTATTGTTGTTCTAGACCGATTGGTTAGATAACAATTTATTATTTATCAAAAATTTATACTTTTTCGTCAAATAATTTTCATGGTTATCAATATTAGAAATTTGTTTAGTACAGCAATTTCGCATTTCATGTTTGTTGCAATACTGTGGTATTCTTTTGCTAATTTTGAGCTTTTCGTGAATATTTATTTTGGCAGTGTTGCAATACTGTGAAAAAAGTTATTTTAGTTCGAGATCGATCCCCTGCTGCACTTTTTAACACCCTCAATGTTTTGGAAAATAAGGGAACATTTATACTTTTAAGTAATTATTTATGCATAATGATTTCTTTAAATTGATAACCCATTCAAATTAATAAATTTAACCAAACTTACTTGGAATGCACGTGTAATCACCTTCTTGGTAATGTGTTTGTAAACATTGACAACGTCCTTGAATGCATGCTGTATTTCTAAGATTACATTTTTGGTCATCTTCACACTGGCCGAAATAACCTTTTTCTAGATCTAGATCAAATGTATATTAATAAATATATGGCAAACTTCACAAGTGACGATATAACCTTGTTATAGAAAAACATGTATGTTAATGAATAGGGGGTAAGATCACAAGGGACGAATTAACCTTGTTCTCGATAAAATGTATGTATTTACATATATTCGAGTAATCTGTAGTATCTGCAAATAAATGCAAACAACTCAATACTGATAAAATTTGTCAATAGCACTAGTTTTAATAAAAACACGCAAAAGGACAATACTTTTGTATAAAGTTACATGTAATTTCAAATGATACGTTTTCTTCATGACAAAATCTTGTTTAATAACACGAATCTGACATATATCTTTATTTCATTTACTAATAACATTCATAATGAGACATTGTTGTAAATTAGACGATGTATTTGTAAGGATAGGTAGAAGATATCAAAGGGACATTCAACCACATTATTCGATGGCAAACTGACAACGCCATGGCAAAAAACTAAAAACGACCAAAAGTCAAATATCATTATACAAAACTCAACATAAAAAATAAAGACCGAGCAACAATTACCTTAAAGATATAAATTACGTTCATGTTTTCATTTAAGAGAGTCTCAGTCATTACTTTCAGAGGTAATTTGTAAGAGAGATGATGTCATGTAAGATGTCGGAGTCGTTTTAGATTCATGCCATTTTGTGGCGTGGTGTTATCCTTTGGGGCTTTCTATTTTATATATGTAGGACTCTAAAGTGCGATGGTACTCTAAAGTGCGATGGTCACGCTAAAGTGCGATGGTCTACGCTATAGTACGATGGTGAATCACGCTAAAGTGCGATGGTTGTTTGTTTGCTAAAGTACGATGGTATGTCACGCTAAAGTGTGATGGATCAATAGGATAAGGTTCGAGAGCTTAAAACGTTAAAGTACATGGATGTTAAAAAATAGTCTTTTTTTTCAAAAGCTAGTATGCTCAGGTATAACATATGTGACAGGCTTTAATTTATAATTTACCGGTAGGCTTAGGTGACCACGTAATAATTGCTAAAAAGGTAATTAAGGTGTCACAAAATACTATATTTCCTGTAAATGATTTTTTAACAATTCGGGCGTATTAAACAATCATGTTAAATACTTGGATAATTGGTGTAGCTTGCCGTTCACACAGTCTATCAATAATCTGAACACCTCCCCTTACAGTCGTCTTTGTAAATTACAAATACAAAATTCGATCATTGTCGGAATATCAATAACATTTATTTGAACAAGCTTTAATTTAAATGCGAGCGAAAGGCGAAATTCGCCGAGCTTTCCCCTTTTTTGTAGCGAGTACACATACATGTTTTATTTTACTAACAATGTACATACTATGTTTTAGTTTATAATTTTCGCTTGAAAACATGTACCTTTATTTTACCGATGTTACTTTTCAATAAAATCGACAATATTTTAACGGGGACCGCAAAGTAAACTGCAACGTTAACAATGATTTAATCAAATGTATCCGTTCGCTTCCAATAGAAGCAGGATACAGGATACCTATGCGTATACTATTTTGTATCTATATAGTAAAATGGTCAGCTGCAGAACACAAGTCCTTCTTCCAGCACCCGAAAAAAAACAACACACATTTGCTTCAGCCGACAAAGCACAGATAGGTTTAAAATAAAGTCATGGACATTTGGTTTAAAAGTTGTTAATCAAATATTCTTAATTTATCTTCCGGCATGTACATTTTTGGTTTGTATAAACGACTGCTAACGTCATAATCCAACTACGTTTCTTACGTCCATACTTTCGCGGACCATCGGACTTTTGCGTATGGAGGCATCGCACTTTAGCGCAGACCATCGCACTTTAGTGTGACCATCGTACTTTAGCGTCCCCATCACACTTTAGAGTCCTACATATATAATGTGAAGATATAGTATGATTGCCATAAAAACATGAGACAACTCTCCACCAGAAATCAAATGGCATAGAATTTAATAACTATAGTTCACCTTTCGGTCTTCAACAATGAGAAAAACCAATAGCGTATAGTAAGCTATGAAAGACCCGAAATGAAATATTTAAAACAATTCAAACGAGTAAACTTACGGCCTGATTTTTTGTTCAAAGCAATAAACGAAAAACAAATATGATATATAGCAACAAACAACAACCACTGAATTACAGGCTCCTGACTTGGGACAGGCACAAACAGAATGTTACGAGGTTAAACGTGTTTGCTGAAGCCAAACCCTCCCCCTAACATGGGTGTAACAGTACAACATAAGAACAAACTTAACGTCAGTTGATAAGGTCTTAACTGATCAGATCGATATAAAGCACATAAAATACATAACAAAAACACAAAAGACACAACGTACAGATAAGAGAGTACTCGTAGTTACTGAAAGCTAGTTCAAAGCCAATAACAACTAATAAAAAATCATGTAACTAAGACTTAAAAGACTCTATCCCTTCGGAAATCTCCTATATTTTAGTCGACAGTATCTTTATATGTTCTGCTACTTATTTGTTAGTCACATGATCCGCACAATATAGAAAACAACAGAGATACTGTTGTTTCTTACCTGAACATAAAATGAGGTTTACAAAGCTCATAAGACAGACAACTGAAAGTACTGACAATCTTTTCTGAAATAAACAATGTATAAAACTTTTCTGTTGCTCTGTTGTTCATATTACAGTATATACACCAATTTAAAAGACAGGAAATCAAGTTAATTTTAATATTCTAAATGATTGTTCGTTGTGTATTTTCAGGTTGCAAATCTATTGGCGAAGTTGCAAATGAAAAACAAACCAAACAAACATACTTTTATAGCTGACTATGCGGTATGGGTTTTACTCATTGTGAATATCGTACGGTGACCTATAGTTGTTAATTTCTGTGTCATTTGGTCTCTTGTGGAGAGTTGTCTCATTGGCAATCATACTACATCTTCTCATTTTTATATATATAAGTGCATACCTAAATTCAATTTACAGAACTGTTAAAATAAATCAAATATGTTTATATTATTTTTATCTATCAAATAAAAAGGTAGGGTTGACCTGATATTTTCTTCGGGTTTAATGAAACTTGCAACAGTTGTGCATTATCAGCAAATATAAATAAATAATTAGTGATTCATTTCAACATGCATGCACATTCTTCGCAAAGATCGTCACTCACCATTCTGTGTTAGGTATTTCCAATCACTTCAAAAACCAAATACTATGGAACCGATTTTCAAACAAAATTGAGAGTACGTTATTTATATAAACAGACGCAAATCCTCTGCAGTACTGAAAGCACAGAGCAGTCATAATGACCGTGGTTTCTTGAAATTCAAACCTTTAAGCAATCAAATTGAGTACTCGTTCCATGGCCTTACAAATAGATAAACGAACATTCACAGGGCGTTCATCATTGCCTTTTCCCATATATATTATTACCTTCAAGTTCTATAATGTTTATTATATCGAACATATAATTTCATGGTTATCTAAGACCATGTATTCTTTTTTAGTGTTCCTATGGTCGTGTTATCTGTAATGGAATCTGGCGTTTAAGTATATGTGTATACAAGTAACTGGTTTCCAAATTTTTTAATTTATTTTTTCAATTACCAATTGCAAATAAAGCAATCTAAAGTCGAACTATATATTCACTTTAATTATATGCTGATTATAGAAGAAGAAGAAAAAATAAAATTATTCTTGTCTAATTCCCACTCATATAAGATTTAAATGTTTCCGTATTTAAATTTATATCATCGTCAACAAAATGTATTGTATAAAATAAAAGTTTAATGGATTTTTAGAATGTTCCCACATTAGTATTTAAAACCACACAACAAATTGACACAGAAATAAACATAAAATATATTATTCAATTTTAATTTTGATAACATCTTTGTCACAGCTGTCATTTGGTATATCGACATAAAAATATCACTAAAGAATAATAAACGGTGGTCAAACATTGCCACGCGGCATCGGAAAAAAATCGTTGTTTTATCAAAAGGCTGAAAAAAAGAATAATGTCTGTCAAAATGATGATTATTTTTCATGATTTGCACTAAGTAGTTGAAAAATGCAGTGTTTTTTACGATTTTATAAATCATTTAACTTCCAATTTGTCAATTAACGTCACTTGTCAAAGCAAAACCACTCCCAGACGTAAACAATGACACGCCATTGCACATTGTTACTCTTCTATTTTGAGGTTTTCAAATCTAGTCATAAAAGTCGCGGCACTCACAAAATATGGATCACTAGATACCTACGCTTGTTTTTTTCTTTTTTTTTTTTTTTTTTTGGTTGGTTGGAGTTCGTTTTGCATAAACTGTACTGTCCAGAATATAGAAAAGTTGTAAATAAATTTAAAAGCAACTTTTAAAGATCTGTATAATATTTTCGTATTTGTCTCTACTTTATTGCCTAAAAAAATACCTATTAATGAGGTTCACCTCGTTCGTGTACTATCCTTGATTGAAATATCCCATTTCAAGGATGCTGGTTTAAATACTTAGTCTAGATATTGATTGAAATTACATTACAGATTTTTTTAAACTGTAAACAGCGGGTAACAGCTTTCCTCTCTTTGTCTCAAATTCATCAGTAAAGATGTGTCATTTAACATACAATTAACACGTTGATGACATACATGTTGTGGTATCTTTTATAGTAAACCAAAGTTCATTATTATAAGGATTCGGATTATTTTCTAAAATTTGCCATGATGGTGAGTTTGAATTAAGAAAAAAAAGTTGGATAATATTTGATGCATGGCGGTTTCGAATGTTCGACTGGATTTCAGGGTGGGGCATGTGACTAATACAGTCGTTCATTTAGTGATCTTTTGTTATAAAATTATGATAAACGGATAAACTTTTGAAATAGTTCACTTCAACAGCAATTATTACAATATTAACAACAATAATAAAAACTTAAAACAGCAACAAAATAAAATATAACAAAAAAAGGTTGTGCGCACACAAACATGTTTAACCCCGCCACATTCTGTATGTACCTACCTAAATAAAGTCAGGAGCCTGTGATTAAGTAATTGTAGTAGGTTCATATCTGTAATATTTGTTTTTCGTAAATTGTATTTTTAAAAACTAGGCCGTTAATTTTGTTGTTTGATATGTTTCACATTTTCGTGTCCGGGCCTTTTATAGCTGATTATACGGTATTGGTTGTTTTCTCGTTGTTGAACACCGTGCGGCGACCTATGATTGATTATATCTTTGCTTTTGAACTCTAGCGAATATTGTCTCATTGGCAATCATGCCAAATCTCCTTATTTTCATAAAACAAAACATTTTGATAGAATGAAAACTACCAGTAAGAACATAAATATATATATATATATATATATGCCCAAACATATATCTATATATATATATATATATATATATATATATATATTAGTTTAGATAGCTCAAATGCCATTGTTTCCTATGTTTTAATTACTGACACTGTTATATTTGTTTTATTTTATTTTGATCTAAGACCTGTCAAAGCTAAAGCAGACAGTTTCATTGTACTTGAAAAGTTCCCTGTAGTTTCTAAAACACCCAGTGTCTATTAATGTAATGTTGTATTGCATATACATGCACCGTACATGTGTCATATTCACATTTTGAAGAGCAAACTCTAGTCGGGTTGTTGTTGTCTGAAACATGTGTCGAGGTATGGTAAAATGTCTTTCGTCAGACTGTAACTTAGAGCATATGACGAGTTAGTCACAGTGTAAAGCATGGAATATCCATATGACATTTATATGCCAATCCAACTTTCTTGTCTACAGTGTATCTAATGATGGTCTACTGTTTATCTAATGATGGTCTACGGTGTATCTAATAATAGTCTACAGTGTATCTAATGATTGTCTACTGTTTATCTAATGATGGTCTACAGTTTATCTAATGCTGGTCTACGATGTATCTAATAATGGTCTACAGTGTATCTAATGATTGTCTACAGTTTATCTAATGATGGTCTACAGTGTATATAATGATGGTCTACAGTTTATCTAATGATGATTTTTCCCAGAAACACGTGTTTGGAGCAGAAAATCATATCATACATTCTGATCATTCTGGATATGCTTTGTAATATTTGCCATGACTGCTAGGCATCTGTTAATCAACCAATCAATCCACATATCACCTTATAAAATTGCACAGAAAAAATCAAAATTGGTAAAGGTCAGTAATATACCATTGACTTTTGATGAGAGAAAAATCACTTGTAAACATTTAAACAACTGCGTCAACCATTTCTAAATTCAAAACAATGATAAACACAACTTATTGTTTATTCTTTTATAAAATTATATGAGATCCTCTTGAAAGACAAATCAAAACCAAAACAGATATTTCATGATTGAAAAAGATAGAAAACCAACAACATTATCATCAACCCACCAACAGAGACGAATATTTCATTGAATTTTCAGAAAACAGTTTGTATAGGCTTGATAAACATGATAAAATTGCCCCATGCATGTACTATTAAAAAATGATTAATATATATTTTACCGTAGCTTTTCTTTTCCAAATTTTATGGAAGATTTACAAACGTGATCTAAAAACGTTTATGAGAGCACTTGGAAATCGTTATAGTAACAATGTTGACACTTGACACTTGACACTTCAGACTTTAAAGGTGGTTTCTGATGAATTAATTTGACAAACATTTTCAAATGAAAACTTAACCAACTGAATTAGGCATGACATGAAGATCATAATGATGTTATGCTGTGCTAATCGTCCTGAGTATGCATGAAATAGTGGATACTAATCAAACACCAATCAATCATATTTTGTCCAACTTTACATGAAGACAGTAGTGATGGTAGAAGTGAAATATCATTTTATTATTATCCAATTTACAGTAAAATGAAATATATGCCGTGTTAAACCAAACATTATTGTTCTGTATTTTCTAGGAACAAAATAGAATTGATCCATTGCCAAATGTTGACGATCAAATTAATCAAAAGACACAAATTACGTGAATTGATAAGAAAGTGGTGAATAGAGAGACAAACAGGTTTAATTCAATCCAATGAAAACACAGAACACTGATTGACATACCACGATCCTTTCGCATAGGCATATCAATTGAAATATTTCTGAAATCCGAATGAAAATTGTCCAATTGGGTTATTAAGTTGATCTAGTACAAAAACGTTGTGAAGATACTAACCTGATATAAAGGTATCAAACATCAATCTATAATTTTAATAAAATAGCATAATGCATAGAAATTGTATCTGTGACATTATATCGCTAAATCGTCGTTATATCAAAAACTAAAATGCAAACTGAATTAACATTTTTTTCTAAATTGACTATCGTGTATTTCTTTTGTGTATGCTCTTCAATTATCTCCATAAAAAGATTCATATATGATTTGCAGCTGTTATTTTATAATACATTTTTATATATTTTCCTGTTCTTGATTGTTGTGTATTGTGAGCATTGTGTATCTTATTTTCTAGTTTCGATAATGACTAAAATTTCTCAAATGAAACACGAACTATATATAGCCAAAATACGGAAGTTCTTTTTCCGCATTTTAACCAGGGTTAATCCACCATTGTCTACATAAGGAAATACCTGTACTAAGTCAGGAATATGACAGTTGCTTTCCATTCGTTTGATATGTTTGAGCTTTTGATTTTGCCATTTGATAAGGGACTTTCCGTTTGAATTTTCCTTGGAGTTCGGTATTTTTGTTATCTTTTTTTTTTTAAAGATATACGTATCGGTTGAGTCCGGTTTTTTTATGCGAGCAAAACTCAAACGACAGGAAAACAACTGCCATATTCCTGACTTGGTACAGGCATTTCCTTATGTAGAAAATGGTGGATTAAACCTGGTTTTATAGTTAGCTAGTTTATAAACCAACTATATGTTTTCCTAGCACACTTTACCTTCCCAAAACGACGCTTTGTCAACTGCCTATTACGCGAACTTACGCAAGAAAGATTATGGTCATGAGTTTAAGCGGAGTTATTATCTCCCGTTAATTTCCCCCAAGCGATAGTTGACGTCGCTACGATTTCATACACAGTATAAAATATTATAAGCATCCCTGAATGTCCCTTTCTCCTTTCATGCAATAACAGCTTTCATATCATAAACTTACAAAGGCAATTGTATGTTTTGAATACTGATTTTTTTTTAAATCAGTTCTTCTCTCTTTTTGAATTTCGTACAAGTATTTAATTAAATAATCAAGATACTTAAAACAATTTCGTTCTATTATTTACTTTTCGAATTTCACCATTGATTAGTCTTAAACTTCATTCAATTCAAACTACAAATGTATGGAAGCTTTCGAAAGGTAGTGCTAAAATGCCAAAAAAAAATGACACCTTAGACGACTAGCTATAGTTTTTTGCGTGAACCCCTGAACCCCTGAGGGTTCACGCATATATATTAATTGATGTTGTAGTCTTTCGGAATACCGGAAATGCCAATTGTCTTTTCGGAATACATCTATTCTTTTCTGTGGCCACCTGCGTAATAGGTAATTAATTGACCTAATGAATATGTATAAGCGTCTTACAGTTGCTATAGAGATAAGTGTTAATCGAGACTGATTGATATTTTACATCAGTAGTCAATTGAATTATAGTCGCATATGTTAAGTTTTCTGAAATACAAGCTGTGTAAACATTAGACATTAGATTTTTAAGCGAAAACATTACCGTCAATGGTTAGGCGTTTTTAAGATTTTTAAACTGAGCCATTTTAGCGAAATTAAAAAAGAGCTAAGTCCGTTTATGAAGTAATTAAGGAGTTTTTAAATATTGTTCCTTTTTTAATTAAAATACCAAAAATGGAATTCTTATAATCATATTATTTAATTGGTAAAATATTGGAACAACGTATCTTTTATCGTTATCATAATTCAAATTGAAATAAAAAGACAATACATTAAAGAAAAACAAACTGAACCTTGAAGAATCGTTGAGATGTGTAAAATGCAGATATGAGATGCTACAACGAAACATTTAATTTTTTAATAAACATTTAACTTATTAAATATGTTTAGCGGTATGATGATGGTTCTGAAAGAATAATTAAATTTTAGGACTTGATATCTGAGATGACGGATAATAGAAAAGTTGATTATGCATAAATTATGCAATAGCAGGAGTGAAATAATACAGGGTCAGAGATAAAATAAAGATTGTCTTTTATAGGGACTGAGTGATGATAGATACAGTCAGAGATAAGATAATGAATTTATATTTATATTAATTAAGGCTCTACATTTGTATCAAATTAAAATAAGGGAAACAAGGCAATAATTAGAATAAAAGACAACGCAATGAAATCAGGCAGTTAGTTTTCTCATATGAATTGTTAAATACATTAATCATTTCGGGGCATTTTGTTGCTTACTATGCGGAATGGAGTTTGTTCATTGTTAAAGGCCGTACGGTGACAATAGTTGTTAACTTCTACGTCACTTGGTCTCTGGTGGAGATTTTTTATACTTAATCTTATTTTAAAATACTAGTCAACCCTGGAAATTATGACGAAATTTAAAGACACCTTTTACATGTTTTAGGTGTGTTAAATGCAGAAATTATATGTCATATCGAAACAGTTCATAAATGAATATGCGTTTGAGTCCTTAAAATAATTCTATAGATATGAAACGATTTACAGACATTGAGTGATATTCTTTGGAGTTAATTGAGGTGATGACTCTCTATTTATTTAAAACGTATACATAAATTAGACCGTTAGTTTTCTCGTTTGAATTGTTTTACATTTGTCATTTCGGGACCTTTTATAGCTGACTATGCGGCATGGGCTTTGCTCATTGTTGAAAGCCGTACCTTGACCTATATTTGTTAATTTCTGTGTCATTTGGTCTCTTGTGGAGAGTTGTCTCATTGGCAATTATACCACATCTTCTAATTTTATATGAAGTAAAAAAAAATAAGGTCTGAACTATTTTCAAACTGGTAACAAAAACTAATAATCATGATTCATTTCATTAAACTTCTTTACAACAAAGACTTTTCACAGTTACATTTCGACTTCAGCCAGGAAGCTACCTCTATTCCCAAAATAGCACCTCAGAAAGGAATTAACATACCGTGGTTGCTTCTTATTTATCATGTTGTAATGTTTTTATGAAAATATATTTAGAAAATTATGCCCAACATAGAACATCAGTTTCATTAAGAATCCATGTCAGTTTATCTACATCTTATATAAAAAAGAAATGAGGTGAAATCATGCATCTTTATAAAACAATTATGATCTGATCTTTCATTCCAAACATGTATTAAAGTTCACGATTGCATTTCTTTTTTTTTAAAGAAAGCAACTTGTTTATACATTTAATGCTCGTATGTTATACATGTCGATGCAGATTCATAAGCACAAGGTTGATTATGTGTTATATTCGTAAAAAAATTGAAACACAATATACAGAAACTCACAATTAACATAATATTTTACGATCCGGTACATCATTTCACCATAAATGTTTCTGGGTTAAAACACATAATCTTGATTCTGAATATATTGCGACGTTCCAGATGACAAAGAGACAATAAAACTATTACAGCATTACTACATTGACTTTGGGGTTCCTGTAAAGTGCCCCAGAAGTGGAAAACAACATTAAGTATGACGAAACGAAATGACACACGACAGAATGTTCCTTTTCCCATTTTTTATACCTACTTGAAATGAATTATGCTCCTGCGTCAACATATGGGACATTAAGTATTACCCTTGTCCGTCTGTACGTCAGTCCGTCCGTCCGTACGTACGTACGTTCCGAAATTGGTTTCCGTTCTCTAACTTAAGTTTGCCTCAACCAAATGTTATAAAACTTATACACAATGCTTATTACCACAAAACATAGATTAAGTTCGAATTGGTGGCGTCACTTTTACCGTTCTTCAATTATGTCCCTTTACAACGTTATATGCAAGCGGGGGGCATCATCTGTGTCTATGGGACACACTCTCCATTTATTTATTATCAATCTTTTAAAATCTATAAATACAATTTTGCAATACATTTTGTGGTCAATAGAAATTGAAAAAAACTCTCTTCCTTTAAGACTGAAAAAAAATAAATATAAGTAATGTATGCTTTTGTGTGAAAACTTTAAATTTTGTACTACGACATTTCACTGCACTTTTGATTAAATCTACATGTATGTATGGCAAATTTTAAACCTATTGTATCAAAGGATATCAATAAGCATGTAATTATAAAAATGTCAGTTCAAATTTCATCTATGTTTTGTCGTTATTTATGTTTTATAAAACACGAAACCATTGATTTTGTGTACAGACGACATATGTTGCGTGTACAAAATCGATTTTCAGTTTTATCAATAAATTTGCACACCCAGTCTGTTAAATAAACAATTATTCCCCATTTCCATTCTCAATTTTTAGGTCTTCCATTTTAAGCAAATAAAGTCCACAAAGCACTTAACAGAAAAGATTGAGCAACATAAACCCCCATACAATGTAATTTAGCTGAATTTTGTCTCCGTATGACCTTAGATCTGTCTCCGAATATCCTTCTGACGTCATGCAACAATCACTTTTTAATTATGACGTCAATTTTTTTTAAATTGTGATGTCAAATTTTACGAGAACTTGTGTGATTTTAAGTAATGGCGGACAAATTTGCATACAAGTGTAAATACGTCTATTTGTTACATATAAGTGGGGTAATATCACCATTTTTTAGTGTATGCCATAGAATCACAATACACATAACAATATTACCACATTCTCTGAAATAATTATCATTTTGATTAGTGTTTTCTAGTTTGTTTGTTAAATATGACAGTTTTAACAAAAGTAGAGAATTTTCTATTGTCATAAAGCATGATCATGATTAGATTAGCAACGTATTTTACTGTTAGGAATACTCATATATATGACATCTGCAATAGAATATTATTAATTATATTTAAAATAAAAGTGAAATGAAGGAAGATGGAATCTAACTTTTTTTTAAGGACAGTTTCAAAGATAACAATGTTAATTATTAGAATGGAGGTTCCCCTCTATAACATAAGCTTAGATCAACTATTCATTAAATATGCAAAATGTTTAATATAACAACAATGTATAATCCACAAAAAGATGAATAACAAATAATGAATGAAAAGTAGCCTAATATGATAATCACTGTCTTCATCATACCAGTGTCGAGACAAACTAGAACATGTAATGAAAAGTACACAATCACAACTATGGTAGAGGTATAAAAATAAGAAGTTGTGGTATGATTGCCAATGAGACAATTCTCCACAAGAGACAAAATGACACAGGAATTAATAACAATAGTTCACCGTACGGTCTTCAAAACCATGAATAAAGCCCATACCGCATAGTCAGCTATAAAAGGCCCCGAAATGACAAATGTAAAACAATTCAAACGAGAAAACTAACGGCCTAATTTATGTACAAAATAATTAACGAAAAACAAATATGTTACACAGCAACAAACGACAACCACTGAATTACAGGCTCCTGACTTGGGACAGGCACAGACAGAATGTGGCAGGATTAAACTAGTTTGAAGGCGCCAACCCTCCCCCTAACCTGGGACAGTGGTGTAACTGTCCGTAATTGAAATGCACGATACCATTATAATTGTAAATGTTTAGTCGTATTGAGAATTATTACCTTAAATTTCAGGTGAAGAAGTCAGTCAAGAAGTCAGTACAGTTGGTTATTTGTCTACTTTACCTTATAACTATCGAGTTATGTTCAGGTATGATGCTAGTATCCATTTTTCTTTTCCTATGTCAAATTTCAATCAAAGTTCGTTAAAACGTACTAGTATACGGTAAGATAAAGCTTTGCTCGGTCAATTAGAATTTGGATGTCAACAAATATCATCAATCTTTCAAAATAACATACTTTAGATGTACATAAGACATTAGTCTGTCAAATATCGGCATTCGTAATTGGAGTCATTTTTTAATTGGTTTTACATTTTTGCTTTAGGCCTTCAATCTTCTTTCAATTAGGAAATTACTGCAAAAACTGCCCAAAAGCTTCAATTAGAGAATAAAATACCTGTTTGGATAATGTAGTTGCTTGTAATTACTTCAACCGAATACTATGTGTAAAAAAGTTAGGTTTATCTGTATTAAGAACATCACTGTATCATCACAACTATTATATACACTACAAACCAGTAAAAGTCTGAAATGGCCTATATCTCTACTCGACTGTACTGATTTTTACTCGACCAGTCTGAATTGGTCTGAATTTTACTCGACATTACTCGACCCCAGTCTTAACCATACTCGACCGTACTGATTTGTACTTGACCCTTATCTTTGCCATTGAAAATAGTCTGAAATATTACTCGACCAGTCTGAAACAGTCTTAACCCATTCTCGACCTGTACTCGACCAATTTTTTCAGTCTAAACCATACTCGACCAAAGGTCTGAACAATACTCGACCAGTCTGAACCATACTTGACCAAAAAACTTATACTTTTTTTTTTATTTTAGCTGTTAAAATTAATTTCTTTTTTTCTGACATGACAACAGCCACAATAAAATAAAGATATATATAAAAAATATATTTTTACATCCTTACATGATTCTCAGATTTATCAAATAGAGATAGTTAAATTAAATTATCTTATATAATAATTTAATTATAATAATTTGAAAGTTTTAGAGTTTTGTTAAAAAAAAGATTTTCTTTTAACTAAAAACCACACCTTTACTGAGGGTAATAAAACCTTATTAAGGTGCTTCTTGTTTGGCATGTGTTTTTTTTTTTTTTTAAACTTAATTTTCCTAAATTCCTAAAGAAAAACTATATAGGTTTCATGGTTACATACAATAGTTATAAAAATATCTTTTTAATGAGGTAACAACAGCCAAAAAATCACTGAAATTGTTTAACCTTATATTAGAAATATATCTATTCTTATTATAATTTGGGATATATTATATATAATGTATATCAAAAAGGGATAAAAAAAGAAATAGATAAAATTTTTCTTCTGATTAGTTGCAAAGTATAAAGTAATACCTCCTGCTTGGGGCATAATACCAATTATTACCATATGGTAAAAATTAAATTATTTAATGCCCAAAAAGGCGCAAGCCAGGGCCGACCGTGCAAGGGCTGTATAGCCAGTCAAGGTCGTTAAAAACTTCCATTTGTTGTTGGGCAAACTCATTAAAAAGATCATACCTGGTCAGAGAGTATTAATTTCTAATTAGCATTCATTAAAAATTGCAACATCCTGTAAAACTTAAATCGCAAGGCCTTTTGAATTCACTAGATAATAGTAATACACGAGTTTTAGAAAAAAAGGGCTTTCTTTTTACCTGTAAAACACACATGTACTGAGGTAAATAAACCTTATTAAAGTGCTTCTTGTATGCCATGTCTTTAATTTTGACAAAAGTTATTTAAATTTAATTGAAATAAATTTTTTCTGCAACTTTGGAACACATTTCCTTTTTTAAATGGTTATCAAGGATTGCTCTGGAAGTTCTATTATCATAATTATATCAAATTCCTTGTTTTACAAAACAAAGGTGTGATTTTTGAAATTTATTAAGTTGCTTTATATACTATTTTAAATATATTTTAATAAAAAAAATGTTCACTGCATTATTAACTAAACTCAACTGACACCGTAGATCTTTAAAAGGCTTAAGTAAATAGTGAAAATTGTCCAGTAACCATAAAATATATCTGAAACATTCAAAAAAATTTGAATAACATTGAAAATATTAGTCACAATTCAGTTTTGAGATTATTTGATCAGCTTGTTTTATTTTTATTTTAAAGGTGATATATATATGTAAGTGTTGTTAAATATGGTGTTGAATTTATATTATGTTTATTGTGAAATTTTGGTTTCAATGCCATATTGAATACATTTTTAAATTTCAAATTGTTGTTCAAATTTCTAGCCAGGGGAAATAGCTGTTAAAAACAGTTCCTAAATTGATGAAATACAATAGATAGATACAAAAATTAGGTCTAGATTGGTTAAGACTTAGTCGAGTATGGTACAGACTAGGTCGAGTATGGTTCAGACTAGGTCGAGTAAGGTTCAGACTAGGTCGAGCATGGTTCAGACTAGGTCGAGCATGGTTCAGACGAAAATAAAATGGTTAAGTACTGGTCGAGTAAAGGTCGAGTACAAGTTCAGACCGTTAAGTATGGTTCAGACTACAGTCGAGTATTATCAAGTAAATTTCAGACCAATTCAGACTGGTCGAGTAAAAATCAGTACAGTCGAGTACAAATATAGGCCATTTCAGACTTTTACTGGTTTGTAGTGATATGCTTTTAGTGATTAAATTATGTTATCTGAATGACTATTTCAATATAATCAGCACAATTTTAAAAGGATGACACAGTTTTTACAATTTTTGCTTTTATAACTTTCTGTCACACTGATCGAACAAATGATTGAAATTCCAAATATTCTTACATTTTGATTAAAATTTACATAAAATTGTATTGTTAACCACAAAGACACAAAGTAATTAAGATATTTCCATTATTTTTCCTTCTTTTTATTGAATGTGTATTAATGGAAAGATCTAAATCTATGTCAAGCTTTTGTAAGTTGTGAATGAGACCTGTACAGTTTTTTTTTTATAAATGTTAGAACTTTCAACAGTTATGCAACATGTTTATTTTAAAATTCGTTTGCAATATTATGACGAGATACCGATTTACCTTAGAAAAAACAACAGTACTTTTGACGTGTTATTCTACTGCAAAGTAATAAGTGATTCGTTAAGTAATAATTTGCTGTTATCTTAATTCAGCTGTAAATGTTGATGAAGCTTGTCAGAACGGAAATGAATGCTCAGTGCCTAACTCAGTATGTACCGGTGGTACATGCCAATGTGCTGGAACTCATTACAAAGCCAGTGTGTCTTCGTGCATACAAAGTAAGTAAATTGTATACATCAGGTTTTGATGCTTAGATCAAGTTGAAATTTGTATGTAGCCAAAGATACGTATGAAGATAGCACTCATATATTTTACATGTATACGTTTTCATTGTTTTGAAATACAACAAAAGGGATGATTTCAATTTCTCAATTGTTATGTAGCATTATTACAACACCTTCAATATTAAAGAAGTAAATATAATTATACTCAACAAAAAAAGTTAAGGACCAGTAATTTTATTTAAGAAATAATTCGTTCATGCCATGCTCTATGCTCATTTTAACAAGAGTAGACATTATATTTGTCAATATCGTTATAACGAACGTAAGCGAGGTGTAAAATGTTGACAAATATAATGCCTACTTATGTTAAAATGAGCATAGATCATGACATGCTAGAATTATTTCGATTCAAAAAAGAACATTTAAAACTTTTGTACTTCGAAGTGGACCTATAATACACGTTCGAAAGGCAGCCATTTTGATTCGATGCAGTCAAAACGTTGTAGAAAATCAACTGCTTCATGATAAAAATTGGACAGGTACATGTAAACTTACTTTAAGAAAGCAATGCAACACCAACTCAAATGTCCATTTTGTTCTCCGGCGTTGTTCAAAATACAACTGACATTGCAACTTCAATTGTGACGTCAACCAAGTGGAGCCCATGTTCTACTGGAATGAGAATATGAGCACATGTTCTACTGGAATGAGAACATGGCTTTGTTTCTACAGTGAAAGAAGAACCTCATATTAGAATTTCCATTTTAATAGTATTAAAATTCCTGTCTGAAAACCTTGTGTGGCAGATATGGACATACATGTAAGAGTGGTAAGGAAGAATTTTTTTTTGTCTGATAATTGACAACTGATATTAAATCAGTTAACATTTTATAAAATTGTTTTAATTTTCACTTACTTGACAAATATAGATTTTGGAAATCGTTTTTTGTCCCTTAAATGAGATCTGGCATGAAAGTGTGCTTGATTTAGGATTGATTCTATCACTATAAAGTCACTTCACATTAACTATAAAACATAAGAATATGTGATAATGTTACAACTAGAGATAAGGAGATAATATATGCCACTTCCGGGTTTAAATAGTCACTTCCGGTGTCATATAAAAGCTTACATTACACTGAATACAAACATCTATGGTTTTTATGTATAATTGGTTGAAATAAAGAGATACTTTACTACTTTCGTTTACACAACATACAATCAGGTGTCTCTACGATTGCTTATTTCATGCTGATTTCAATAATATATGGTTTCTTCGCAATTTGAATGAAATTTGTGCAAACATGGATACATCCGTTTTACTGGCGGTTAATTTAAAAAGGACCCCATAGCTTTATCGAATACGTGTATGAAGTTATAACAAATAAACCATAGATTATATAACCAAAAAGGGAAATTACTTCAATTAAAGAGAGGTGAAAGATACCAAAGGGATATTCGAACTCAAGTAAAAAAAAAAACACAAACTGAGAATGCCATGGCAAGAAACGAAAGAAAAAGGTCATTCAACAGTACAAGAATCACAACATAGAAAACCGAGACTGAGCAACATGAACACCACCAAACACCGATAGCTTATAATTTTGTAATAATATTTTGTCGGTATCTAATGCAGTTTTTGGAATAAAACCACAAATTTATAGCCTCATTGCATTCTATGTTTAATTCAGCAATTTCAAGCATTCATAGCTATGTTTTCATATGTTCAAATAAAATGACAGTCATTTTCATGTCATGTCCAAACTAAACCTTATCCTGATTTGTGCTGCAAAAATTCGACATACATGTACTTGCATATTAAAATCGTACTGGTTCCCGGATATGTTTGTCTTTTGCTTGCAGTTTCGTTGAAGCCTAAACAAAACATTCAAAACCGTCTTGAGAGAGTGTCAACGTTAGAATTAATACAAGTACATAGAAATAAAAAGATGTGGTATGAGTGCCATTGAGACAACTCTCCCTTCAAGTCACAATGTGTAAAAAGTAAACAATTATAGGTCAAAGTACGGCCTTCAACACGGAGCCTTGGCTTACACCGAACAGCAAACTATAAAGGGCCACAAAAAGACTAGTGAAAACAATCCAAATAGGAAAACCAACGGTCTAATCTATATAAAAAACGAGAAACAGTCTTGAAATAATATAATACCAGCACAAACATGAGTAAATCGTTTAAATTGAAAACTTGGTGTAGTGTCAACAACTTAAGATATATTATCAAGTCCTTTTAAAAAATTAAACATATATGATCACAGGCATAATACGATTACGTCAGTAGAACATCTGACCATTAGTAAAATGACAAACGTATATAAAGTTTTGTATTAAATAAAATGTACAATGTGTAATGATAGATGCACAAGGAAATATTTATATTCTTTTTTTACTTTCAGAAATAGCGACTGGAGCTGCTTGTACAGCTGTGGGTCAATGTAGTGATGCCAATGCTGAGTGTGCAAATAATTTATGTACATGTAAAACAGGTTATTTCAAAAGCACCAACAATATCTGTACAATTAGTAAGTATGAAGGATCGTGCTACGAAAAGACATTGCTTATTAAGATTTGTATGCAAACCACACGATTAAAAAAATAAAAATTGATTTTTTATTGCCTGTTATGTTAATAACAAATGATCATTGGAAAAAGAAGCGCAAGATAACAAGAGTTACAAAGTGCAACATATAGTCATATTTTAAGATACTAGTATAACATGGAATAGAGGGTAAAATATGTACTCCAGGATCATTCCTTTGAGCAATATAGATGTCTTTTATGTATTTCTTGTTTTGCTTATAACAAAAATATGAGATTAAATTCAAGATTTGAAAAATAAACGAATAAAAAAAAAACAACATTTTTATCGAAAAATTGTTTCTAAAGATAATGAAACCGAATACATAAGGTTTAAAAAAAAACCGTTGAATGAACATAATTATAGGATGCAGATCAGTTCATGTTGTACCTGCAAAATCGACGAATATTCTGGTCGACGTAATGTATATCCACTGCCAACTTATCTCCACTGACCAAACGAGCTGCTAGAGGTCATTGATGTGTAAACTGGAGCGTTTGACTCACAAACTGAATAAATGTCCTCATGATTCTTAACCCAAACATTTGTAACTTTTAATAAACATTCTATTTTCATTGGCATCTATTTACCGTCAAATGCACAGATGACATGTAACTAATGAGTGAGACGCTATATTGACTGGCCGGAATTCGAAAATGTTGGAATAATGCAATAAAATCGAAAATGAAATACTACTCCATTTTAATGAGATATTATTCGATTTTGAAGTTTACAAACTAACGAAAAAACCTCCAACTTGAAAGGTTTCATTCGTATGACGTCATGTTTGCCATGACGTTAACCCTCTTAGTGCGGGCCGTTTTACAAAACACTGTCCAGAAACGGCACAATTTCAGTACCAAATATCATTTTAAGTCAATTGTTATAAAATCTTGTATTTTCAATTGATAATTAATGACATAATAAGATATATAGTAATCACGTTTATTTTTTTTAAAATAACGTTGCTAATATGACATCATTTAACGTCATAAGGTAAGAACGTCACGTCTTCAGCAAGTTTGGCTCTTTTCAATTAAGTAACGTCAAGCACTTTGCAATGCTAAGAAGAAAAACAGAACTTTTTTTCCGAAACGTAATGCAACCACATGAAACGTATTCTGTTCACTTACGAAAGCGTTAAAAGAACTATTTGAACCCTATACAATTTATCTTTCTTATGTCATGATTTTAAGATGGGGGCATGTAGCTGTATCTTTATTTGGTCAACAGAAAAAAACATACATTTTTCCAAATTTTTAATTCGGTTCAATGACAGTTCACATCACCAATCGTAACACATCGTATATATACATCTAGTAATACAGCAAACAACACAGTAGTTAATGAATTTCACAAGTTATTTTACTCTTCGTGTTGACGTTGCTTGTGTTTGTGATAGTCCTTGAAACACTTTCCTAGACAGAGACCTTCTCTGCACTGTTGGCACCAAGTTCTAACCTTCCGTTTATGACAGGAAACACAACTCCTCCTCTTTCTTCGAGGGATTTCAAACAGGAAATGCTCTGATGTTGCTCTACGAGCCATTTCTTCTCCATTCCTACCCAAAACTCGACTTTGAATGTTATGCTCCCCAATTAAGCCAGTCACAATTTCCTGTTGAAACTGGAGATGGGTTAACTTTTTCCCCAAGAGGAATGATCTCTTGTGGCAAATATATGCATTCACTGTAAGCAGGAATTGTATAATATATATATAGCTAAATAATAGTTTTGAATTCTTTGGAAATATTTTACATAATTAAGTTTCGTCCAAAATCGTTTCAGCGATTACGTCATTGTGTGACTGTCGTGCAGCGACATTTGGACTTTATGAGCAATACCAATATTGTAGTTCGTACATGAAATGTATCATAGTTATATCATAAAAAGCACTCTTAAACATGTTTAAACCCGCCACATTCTTCCTGTGCCTGCTCAAACAAGGAGTCTGTAGTTCAGTGGTTGTCTTTGGTTGTCGTTGGTTCATGTTTTTCAGATTTGTTTTTCGTAAACTGTTTTGTTATAAATTAGGCCGACAGTTTTCTCAATCGAATTGTTTCATATTTTCTTGTCGGAGCCTTTTACAGCCGACCTTACGGTATGGGTTTTTCTTATTGTTGAAGGAATTACGATTGTCTATGATTGCTTAGTACATCCACTTCATTTGAACTTTTGTGGATAGTTGTCTCTTTGGCAATCATACCACAGCTCCTTATTTTTTATATTATACAGTAACGTTATATTTTTGGCATCCTGAACTCAGCTTATTAAGATACTACTTTAATGATAAGGATAACGAATATATAAACAATAACTGTTCAGTGTCTTTAAATATCAGCTGTATTTGTACGAGGCTAAGAAACAGGTGTAATACGAGCTTAAGCGAGCTATTACTCCTGTTTTGAGCCGAGTATAAATACAGCTGATATTTAAAGACACTAAACAGTTATTGTCTTTATCCTGCAATTAATTTTGTTCATTTTTTTTCCCATCCCAATCGTTGAATTTGTTTTTGAAAGAAATCGACATGACTAAAACGCGGACCGGAATGAGGACCCCAAACAGTAATTTGACATAACCGTTCGCTCGCAACAGAAGCAGGATACCAGGAGACTATATACGTCTAGTATACGTATATCGCTTCGTGTTATCTGTACACCTGTATTTATATAATAGAAAGGTCGATTGCAGGATAAAATAGCATATGCATGTTGAAATGTTTGCTAATAAGACGGACGTTGGTATTCTACCGCAATGATCATTTGAGCAGATGCAGTAGGTAGTCGTAAATTCATTGACGATTGGTTATCGGAATCACTTTGTATACGTATATATATATATATATATATGAACAATAAATAATTGCCATTCGGTTTTTTTTTTCTTGTTAGATGGCACATTTTATTATTGAAAAAATAATTGTATTATAAATGATTAAAATACTAACCACAAGCAGTCAATAAAAGATTAACAAGAATCTTTTTCCAAAGTTTCACTGAACGTATGTCTGGATCATAAACTGAGATAAGTTGATCTCCTAAATCTACTCCCCCCATGTTTTCATTGTAAGTATGGACAACTCCCGGAGCGACTTTTTCCTTTCCCTTAGAATTTGAAGCAGTTTCCAACCTTGCAATAAAAATAACTTATCAAATCAGATTCATAATAGACTATAACTTTACTTTCATATTACAGATTTGCCTGTATATGCTACAACAGAAAATCGTCACCATTTTTATTTTTCTTTATTTATTATTATCATCATAAATTATCTTCGTTTTAATTTTTTTTAATTTATAACTATCATCATCAATTATCATTATTGTTATTGTTGTTGTTGTTGTTGTTGTTTACTATTTCTTTTATTATTATTACTTTTATCATTAATATTATTCTTATTATTATTATCATTAGTATTTTCTGAACACTCTATACATCAAATTACAAAGTTATTAAAACTTCAATTATGAATTCAAAGGTTCTTATATTTAGCTTATCTAAACATAGCTTAAATGAACATAACAAACCTGCAATGATCAGACGATGTAAGAAATCGCACCTGTCGACGATCAGACCAATGAATTGCCAGTACATTTCCCTGCTTCTTAGCATTGACCGTTCCTTTAGGGGTTTTTAAGGTTTTGAAACTCAATGGCATTCCCTTTCTGCCTGCTATGACTGTTCCGGTCGAGTAAGTGCCATTACCAAGTAAGTCGTGAGTGAGTTTTGGACTGGTAAAAAGACTGTCTGTTGTTACATGATGAAATTTATTATAGTGTGGCTCTATTAACTCTGTTACAACTGAATAGCCAACTCCATAAGGATATGGCTGCTGACGGTTACGTCTTCCATAGTATAACTGTACGTGCTCAGTATATCCTGTATCAGATTCACTAAGAACCCATACCTTGGCTCCCCACTGATGAGATTTTTTCTTTGAAATGTATTGGACGATATTATGTCTACCTTTAAATCCTACTATTCGTTCATCTACACAAATATCTCTTCCTAACCTGACGGAGAAAATATTTCTAATGAAAATCACTATATTTTTCAATCGACTTTTTTTAATATTTTCAATTACATAGTGCAATAAAGTTACATGTCGTGGTCTAATTAATTATAAACTTTATAAAACAACAAAGAAAAGAGGATTGTATTTTAATATACATGATATACACGCGTATTTGACAAAAATAGATAGATATATTGCACGTGCTTGAAAAAGCGGTGCGAAAAGTAACTATTGTCTGACTACAAATAGAGGAAATGAATCGACCTTAATGCCATGGCATATTTCATTTAGTAAAATACACATCGGATAAAACTAACCTTTTTGTGTTCTTGAAATCTAACTCTTCCGTATGGAAAAACGTCTATGTTGGTGACACGGATTAATGCCAATTGGTATTGAATTACTAGTATAGCTACTGTGTATTTTTTTTGTTCGTGTAGTTATTTAACCGATTTATTTACTTTTTTGTTTATGTTAATCTTTTGCAATCGACTTTTGTCCGGGTGTGTATGTAATATTTGCCACTGGAAATTTATAGACGTACTTTTTCATCGGATGTTAATGAGATCATATTAAAGAAACATTAATGCTGTACCTGTAATTCTTCCTAAATGCTGTGTTGCATACATCAATAACTGGTCTAACTTTGTACATTGGGTCATATTGTGGATGATCCCTTGGCAGTGCTGTCTGGTTATTATTTGCGTGTAGATTAGATAGAATGGCTAAAAATCTGTCCCTTGCCATCACAGAACGGAAGGAAGGAGTTCTTCTCAACCACAACTTGTCCTGAGTTTCCCAATACGAAGTTAATGTTGGCTTCTGAATTATGCCCATTAGCAACAAGAGTCCGAGGAAAGCTTTCATTTCTTCATTACATACTGGACGCCACATATGGAGCCTTGATCGTGGTTTCAGATTTCCCATTGATATCCGGCCCCGGCGCCATAAAACTTTTATTTTCTGAGTAAAAAAATATTCTCAGAATGAATTATATTACTCAGCTAAGAATAAGAACTTTTTTCTCTGCCATAAAAAAATATTCTCAACTTTGAGAATATTCTTAGCTGAGAATTTTTTTTCTCAGCTGAGAATTTTTTTCTCAGTGATGTAAGCGGTAAAATAGATGTTTGAAAACTAAAAAATGTACCTAACTTCGCAAAAACGCAGGTTTTATCTCCTTAGCAACACTGTAAAACATAAAAAGAATCTATGATAGATGAAATGACAAGTAGCATTTTGTAAGCATCGGTAAATGGACAGAAAGCCACAGTCCTGACAAAAAGTCACAGGATATAAAGTCACAAATAATTTGTGGACAATTGAATTGTTTGAAATTATAAGAGAAAGATCTTGAAATATTTGAGTTATTAACCCGTAGCTTGTTATAAATATATATTACTTTTTATATTTCTCATACAACTTCTGTCTTAAGATACACGTATTAATGATTATGTTTTATAAATGGCGAAATCTTCGAAATGTAATCTCCTTGGAATGTAACCTTCGTTGACGTTTACGTGAAGAGTGCTTTCTTTCACGTCCGCACTTCTATTGAGTATGGTATGCCAAATAAACATATTACGGATCAATGACATACATTATGTATTCAGGCGACATAAGAAGGCACCATGTGACAATTGTAAGCCAATTGTTTATTAAAGTGAAACAGAGCTGCTTTTTTCTCAGATCTACAAATAAACAAAAAAAAAAAAAAAAACATAACAACAAAAAAAAAAAAACAACAAACCGGATATTTTTATATCATTATGAATGCCAGTAAATAATTTTAACTTTTGAAATTAATATAAATTTGATACAGAATTGAATACGATTTAACAATTATGCAAGTAGTCATAAAAATTGCTCCTCATAATGAGTTTAATATATTGCACAGGAAGAGAAAATGAAAGTACGACGTCGTGTGAGAAGGCATAACATATACCGGTATTGTCCATTACATTTATCAACAACACCTTGTACAAATATTTTTTTTCGAAAATAAAAACAGTTAAATAGAACAAACAAAACTATCCGTCACAATGATATATGAGGGTCTTCATAAGTAGAAAGGGGGAGTGGGGGGAGCGTGTTCTATTTTCCATATTCTTTAATTCTATTGGCCATTTTTCTCTATCCAGTAAGAACTGTTTATTCTGTAAATGATTATTGTTTTCTAATCATGCATATGGAAATTTCCTTCTGTATCATGATTTTGACATGATAGATTTTTTTTCTGTATCAAAGACATATGTATGACGACACTACCCCGTAATACAACCCACCCACCCCCCTTTTCCCCTGCCCCGAATCTGTCACTGTACTGCAAAAATGATACATTTATCAATTTTGACTAATATCTGTTTAAAACCAAACGGGGGAAATTATTTTACTTTCTTTGTAATAATTTGGATATCTGAGATAATAATCAGTAGATAGGGTGGCATTACATGTATTTGGTTTGTAGACATGAGGTACCAGTACTGCAATCTAATTAAGGTAGCTGTAGTAATTTGTAAAAAGTAGTTTTTTTAAGAGAGATCTGAAAACTAATGGAAAAAAAATCGACCTCCTGAACTATATTGTATCCTTGACAGACCAACTGTCCAACAAAATATAAAATATTGCCTATTTATCAACTATTTGGGAGAATATTAAAATATATTTAACATTTATTGGTAATGAACAAAAAATGCTATACCCCCCAAAAATTCAAAGACAAAGTTATCCGTCCTCGAGTATCAGTCAAATAGCCCTTACCAAACAATTGAAGTTTTTAAATTGCAATGAATTATGGATCTTACAAATCTGAAACCGAAGACGTAGTAAGCATGCTGGCGAAAGAGACTTTTTGATTCTGCAATTCTATCTAATTCCCGTTAATTGTTCATTTATAAATTTTGAAAATATAAAGAAACTGAGATTTCAACTCCATCGGGCAAAGTTGACCTTCGACTCATTTAATTGGCTAGTATTATTTTAAAGTCCTTAAGGCTTTTGGTCATATTTCTGATTTGTTGTTTTCAATTTGTTTTCCACTATTGCAGAGCTATTTGTTGTCAATGGTCATCTTGGTCTGACCTCTGTCACGAACTGTTTTATCAGTGTTGTAATGTGTAATCATTTCTGACACAATACATGAGAAGGATGCAAGGTTGACTTTGACTGCAATAGGGGACGAAATGATACGTCAAGATTTGTTAGCTCCTCATGCAAGATCGTGATTTTGGAGCAAATACTGATGCTTACGAATGTACAGAAATTGCATCGCTTACGTACATCAATTGACCAATTCCGATTACGACCAGTTCAATATTTCATTCGTTTTACCTTATTCTTAATTTTTATATAAAAAAATTATACATTTTAGCACCCAATTATTCAGTCTTTTTTCTTTAATTTTTTTTTGCACATTTTTTTCTTTATTTTTTTTGGGGGGGGGGGGGGGGGTATTTTCTATTCTGTAAATCACCTCGTCTATCTTGGGTAATTTCAAATTAAGATCCCCTGATACTCAAGCGGGATATATAATGCATAATACTACCAGAGTAGGAGTATCTACAATGAGAAGCTGTTTAATTGGTCGCTTTTTTGTGATCTCCTTTTTAAAATTTGGTAAGATTAATATGCTACAACCAACAAATTTTTAATTCTCATATGCTATCACAGAATTATAAGACATATTTTGATTTCTAAAGGTCAAATTATATTGTATGCTACTAAATTTTTCAATGTTCAAAGAAAATGTTACGGCCATATTTGGAATATTTCTACTGAATTGCATTTTTTGATAGTATCAACATACTTATGCTCATTTTACAAAAATCATACTTATTCATTTATTTCTATGAATAGCAGATGCTGCATATGGATTTTATTGGTTATAAAAGATATTGGATGCTCTCATGATTATATTAAATAACTTTTGTAGTTGTTAGATTGTTTTGTTTTAAAAAAACATTATCATTTCTGTTTATAGCATATTTTAGAGAAAATGAAGAAAAATATTAAAATGGCATTTTCACCTTTGATAGATGCTGATGTAATTCTTTCAATTCTATATTGAATACCTCAGCATTTGGATGTTGGCTTCCAATTATTTTTAGATTCTGGCATCCCATCACATCATTATTTTCGCTCAAATATCCGATGCCCACTAAAATGTGGGTGATTTCATACAACAACAAAGGAGCAGTGAAGCTATTTCACACTAGATTTAAAAAGTCTTTCAATCTTTTCTAAAATTCATAGTATCACAGCACCGTATGTACTTTTTTATTGTTCTAACAATAGTATGATTGATTATTTTAAATAAATCAACAAATTATGAACCCTGGAATAAGCCTGAAACCTCAATTTTTACTGTTATTGACAAAATTGATATTGAGTATTTATCCTTAAAAAATATATGAAAAAGACAACGTTAACCAAACAAAAAATGTTGGACTGAGTAAAGATGTGTATGTTTTTTTTCGGATACATTTTTATTTGTGCAGATTAGTGACGTTCTTCAATGCAAATTTTAACAAAATTTGAACAAAAACCATATTAACAGTGTAATTTTTTATATCAAAATACCCTCAATAGCAACATGTAAGAATTTTTTTTTATACTTAAGTATGGTTTTGGCTATACTCAAATATTTAAGAATATTCTTAACTTTGAGTAAAAAAATATCTGAGAATTTTTTTATGGCGGTGTTTTTTGCTGAGAATAAAAAAATGAGAAAATTCTCAGGCTGAGCAAAAAAAAAATACTCAAATAGTTTTATGGCGCCGGGGCCCGATGTTCAGCGTATCTGTTTGTTTCTTTCACAAGAACGTCCACCACATTGTTCTCTACATTTTCTGGGTCCGTCAACATGGATAGGAATATTTCATGTGCTTTATCATCCGGCCGAATGTCTACTGGTCCAAAACGATTTCCACGAAATTCCTGCATTTCTGGCATATAAAACTCTTCAGTGTTTAATACTGGAAACCATGGACCAGGATTCAACGTTTCATTCTCTAAATCTGAATCTGTATCTGTATCAATTTCGGACATTTCGGATTCATATTCCATGGATTCTTCGGATTCAAAATCGCTCATTGCTAAATTTTGTTAGCTCTATTTTACCGTCAACTCGATTGCGACGTCTTATGACGTCATATAAGTTATGACGTAATCATGACGTTTTAAGAAAAAGAACAATAAAAAAAAAACAAATATTCTAATAATTCTAATATTTATAATCTATGCAATAAAGGAGGGAGGGGGTATAGTTTAGCACATGCTGTGGAAAACAGCTGTATTTGCATACACAAAGGACATATATGTCCTTCCCGCAGTAAGCCAGGAGAGGACACATATGTCCTTCCCGCAGTAAGAGGGTTAAGATATATTTATCAAGTCCTTTAAAAAATTAAACATATATGATCACAGGCATAATACGATTACGTCAGTAGAACATCTGACCATTAGTAAAATGACAAACGTATATAAAGTTTTGTATTAAATAAAATGTACAATGTGTAATGATAGATGCAGAAGGAACTATTTATATTTGTTTTTACTTTTAGAAATAGCTACTGGAACTGCATGTACAGCTGTAGGTCAATGTAGTGATGCCAATGCTGAGTGTGAAACTAGTTTATGTACATGTAAAACAGGTTATTTCAAAAACACCAACAATATCTGTACAATTAGTAAGTATGAAGGATCGTGCTACGAAAAGACATTGCTTATTAAGATTTGTATGCAAACCACACGATTAAAAAAATAAAAATTGATTTTTTTATTGCCTGGTATGTTAATAACAAATGATCATTGGAAAAAGTAGCGCAAGATAACAGGAGGCCATTCAAAACTCATAATTCGAAGGACAACTGGCAACGCCATGGCAAATAAATAAAGAAGACAAAAGGACAAACGAGTGCAGAACACAGTACATAGAGAACTCATTAGAAATCTAGTGTATTACTAACTTCATGTACAAAAAGTAAGTGACTTGTATACATAATAGTATAATACTTAAATCAAATGGCACATTTATCAGTTGCCATGTCACGTGCAATTGCCAAAATAGCGCTCTTGTCAATTTTATAAGATTTAAACTTTACGATAAAGGAGATTTATACAATTTCTCCATATTGTTATTTTTCTTATAGAGGTTTACTGCTTACAAAGAAGCTATTGAACCAAAGCATTTAAATGTTAGAGTTGAAGTAGTCTCGTTGAACTTTGTCCGAAAGCGTTTGTAAATTTGTTGACCGTTTCGGACTATCTGTGTTACAATCCCTGCCATTTATTTTCTATAATGTCACCAATTTCTGGGAAATAATCACCAGATTTTTACTTTCCATGAGCAACACAACATATGTGTCTATTTTTGCAGGAAAAGCTTACCATTCTGGAACACCTGCATTCAACCCACGTTTTTATTTGGTTTGTGTTGCTAAATATGCATTTTCTATGCAGTGTTTTGTGGACTATTGGTTCTTTGCATGTCTTATTTTTCTTTTGGCAAGGTGTTGTATGTTTTTTTCGATCCAGAGATGTTCATTGCCACCTGACTATATTCTCCCTTTTCAACTCTTAAATAACTTGGCAGGACATAAGCTTTGGATACTATAATCAAAAGTGTATGCACAGGTGATAGGACAAAATTTTGGTCTTTGTGATTTCTCGAAAATGCCACAGGACCAATATTTTTCGGCCCATTGAGAGTAAAAACTTAAGGTTAATTTGAGGTACAGATACATCGTTAGTGTTGTATGAAATATAATAAAATTAGCTGTGGTGACAACAACAATATCTAGTTTAAATAATATAACGGTTTTATTTCGATTGACGTCAGTAGTAGTGTGACGTTTACGTTTGTTACGTCACATTTAAATCCACGACAGGTTCCCGTTCTTGAACACACTTTAAAACGTTAAGTGGAATATTATAGTGACTGTCTTTGGATGAGGTAAATATGTGGTTTTATTGACGTTTGAAAAACTGATATTCACTGAGGTCAACGGCAGAAGTAAATATTCGTTTTTTTTCTAAAAGTCAATTGAATCTCATATTTATCGAAACAAAAGACAGTAATTGTTTTAATTCATATTCCGAGAGAAAAAAACCCAACTTATACCAATATGGTATAACAAGCTTTATTCACATCAAATGTTGACATTCATAATTCATACAATTCCATTGCCTAACTTTAGAAAAACATATTATAAGCATCTCAGGATAGATCTCATGACGTGTATTTAGTTATTGTTTGTCTACCAGTGTTGCGCGAAAAGATAAATTTTTGGCTTTATACTTTTATTAACTGCCAAAAACATTGCTTTTGCTACATGACCATAGTCTATATGATATGGAGCATTACTGAGGACAGAAAATTTGTATTCCGTAAATTTCGGTGAATATTAAGAGCCAACCATTAATTCAGTTGTGAAAATGATGTAAAATATATCGTTGGCAAAGAAGTTTCTGCCATCAGATACTTCATCATTATGTTTACGGCAAATCTCAAGATATATAGGGAAAAAATTATCGAAACAAACAGCGAAAGATCGTCACGTCTTTGTGAAATTGAACCCCAAATGACCGGCAACATATTTATTTTTTTTTTTTTTTATTGAGAATATATAAATATATTTAAATCAGATAGTATTAATTTCATTCTTTTATATAGTCATATTTTAAAATACTAGTATAATATGGAATAGAGGGTAAATTATGTGAATCCAGGATCATTCCTTTGAGAAATATAGATGGCTTTTATGTATTTCTTGTCTTGCTTATATCAAAAATATGAGATAAAATTAAAGATTTGAAAAATAAACGAATACAAAAAATAACATTTTTTATCGAAATTTGTTTCTAAAGATAATGAAACCGAGTACATAAGGTTTAAAATTACCGTTGGATGAACATAATTATAGGATTCAGATCAGTTCATGTTGTACCTGCAAAATAGACGAATATTCTGGTAGACGTAATGTATATCCACTGCCAACTCATCTCCACTGACCAAACGAGTAGCTAGAGGTCATTGATGTGTAAACTGGGGCGATTGACTCACAAACTGAATAAATGTCCTGATGATTCTTAACCCAAACATTTGTAACTTTTAATAAACTTGTCATTTTCATTGGCGCTATTTACCTTCAAATGCACAGATGACATGTAACTAATGAATGAGACGCTAAATTGACTGGCCAGAATTCATAAATGTTCGAATAATGCAATTACATTGCGAGTTTGATAAAGTGATGCAAGTTGTAATAATTAGTGAGCGTGTTTGAGTGGTGCGAGTTGGCAGTGTGCCGAGTTGTCGGGCAGTACGTCGACTAAGCATGCGCGAAAGCGTATAAGACACGGATTGTTAACGGTCTCCGAATTTGATACTTTCTCAAAAATTGGCGTTTTCTGTGGAAAAAAGATTGTTTCAAAGACAAATTTAGGAAGTACAAAACACTACATTTATACGTGATATCACAAATATTTCCGACTTTGTATGGTTTCAGAGGAGTTGCGGCTCAATGAAATCGGTCTCTTCCTTTAGTAGTATAGATATATCAATTCAAAAGCTCAATGTAATTTTGTATTGTATTGCTATCAATTTTGTCGGCTGTTAATAACGCTTATTTGATTTGATTTGATATTCGACTCAAATTTTAACAGCGCTATCTATGTGGGTCTCTGGTAAAGGAAATAATAATAAAAATCACAATGAAGGTTCATACACTGTATTATGCAGTTTTGAGTAATTGTATAAGTATAACAAAAAAAGTGATTCGTAAATATACAAAAAGAAATAAAAAAAAAAGCAGTAATTTATAATTTAAAATAGATGCGTTTGTTTCGCCAATTTGTATTAAGAAAAAGCACTCGATGCAGGATCATTTACAGGGTGCTCTGCTTCTAAATACTCATCAGACTCGGTGCATGACTAATGCATAAGCCGACTAAACGGTTAATAAGTATTCTGATATGAGGAATCTGTTTATTTATGAAATCTTTAGTATTATGATCGAACACTTTTACTCAGTACAAGAAAACATAGTTTGAAACACACTTTTAACCGTAAGAAAGGTCTTTAAGGGAATCTCCCATACGTTGCATGTGTTCAGTTATTAATATATTGTGTCACTTACTGGTGACGTAATACACAAGAGACTCATGAGAAATTATCGTATGTATTGTTTTTACATACTCAGCTTACTCAGTGCATAACTAAGACTAAACCGTACTGGTGACGTACTACTCAAATGACAAATGAAAAAGAACAAAAACACATAACGTTATATTTGGCGAATTAGACAGCAAGCAAATATTAACAAATACAAAAAATGAACAATACCACTCTCATAGATGTGTCGAAGTCATCTAATAATGTTCGGTCCTGGTAAGCAATTTCCTCCGTTAAATATGGAACAAGAGACAACGGACATCTCTATGAATTAAGTGTGGATACAACCATGTAATTTCAACAATCTTGAAGCAGAGTAAGAATTTAAACTGTAAATTGACAGGGGCATACATGAATTTTAATTTTTCTATTTTTTTTTTATTTCAAAATGACAACCCATACACACTCACAACAGAAAAAAAAATAAAAAAATAAAAAAAAATAATTATAAACTAATAAAAAAAATTAAGAAAATGTCAGAAAAGAATTAACTTTTTTCATAATTAAAGAAATGAAACTTTACTTTCAGAGGTAGGATTTGGCGGAGTATGCGTAACATCTATCGGGGATGGTACCTGCTTATATTCCCTGAACTGTACAGCAGATAAATGTCAGTGTGCAACACCTGCTAACCAGTTCTTTGATTCTACTGTTAATACTTGTAAACAAAGTAAGCTATCTTTGTTTCTTTTTCTATTGTCATAAGAGTATGTTGATTATTTTAGAAAAAAAACTGATCATCTTTTACATGAAGTCACATTGGACGTCGATTAGAAAGTACAAATATTGGACACTGATTTGCGAACACTGGATGTCGATTTTAGGAACGGACGTCGATAATTATTCGGACGTCGATCCAAGTCTAACATATAGTATACTAGTATGTTATTCAGGTCTCAGACAGGGTATATAATGTGACATTCCCGACTTAGAGTTTATATTCCCTGAGCCGAAGCCTCTAAGCCAGGAATGTCACATTATATACCCTGTCTGAAACCTGAATTACACATATATTACGGATTACCCTTGCCTTAAAGTTTTGTTCCAGTGCCGAGTATTTGTTAAATATTTACCGTGCCGAATATATATTTTCCGCTAACGTGAAGGATTTGTAATTTGCTGTGAAAATAATGTTATCGTGTATGCAACAGTTTTTAATAACACTTTAAGACATTAATTAAGTATAAGATGTGTAAATCGCGTGGTTTTAAATTAAAAACGTATTATTGACGGATACACGTCATTATTTTCCCTCTGTGAGCCTCTGACGTTCTTAATGTGTTCTGTATAGCCAAAGACTACGTCACATAGTAACGTTGTTGAGGTTCCAATTGGGGTTAAAAACGTCGTATATACCCCGGCAGTTTCCTTCCTAGATATATGCTGACATCTCTGTGTTGTTATATAATCACAAAACTCGACACATTTGTAATCCGTAGTATATCAAAGTATTTCATCTGTATCAAAGTATCTAACATTATATTTGTGATTATTACTAGGTCAAATTAATAACAAAAAAACTGATTTGCTTTTGAAAAGTTTCTGTTTAGTCAAATCCATCTTTCTGAAAATTTGGGAAATACATGAACAAACAAATGACAATACTTATATGTAATCTTCTTTTTAAATAGCCACTGAAACGTCATGTACAGCTTTCGGTCAATGCAGTGTATCCTTACAAATAAAAAAGACCAAACAAACAGAGAGACATCTGCAACATAGACCAGATGTAAAATGCTACATGTTATTTTATCATTTTTTATTCATCGCTTTAAATGTGTGCATTTCAGAGATTGCATTAGAAGCTACCTGTACACCTGGACCGACTGACCAATGCCTGGATGCTAGCGCTGAATGTAAAACAGACACTGACAATGCTAATAAATGTCTATGTAAAACAACCCATTACAAGGACGTTAATGGTGCATGCGTTGCCAGTATGTATACAATACATCATATTCATGCTCAATATGCGTTTGATGAAAAATGAAATCCATAAAATGTACGAACAAAAAAAAATATTGAAAAATGTATTTTGATTACGAATAACCATGAAAAAAACTATGTTATCATTTTCAGTTTAAATACCGAAATACGTTTTTAGTTTCTGGATTGAGAAAACAATTAAAAACAATGTATTGATAAGTTCTGGGTTTTATGGGTTTAATGTCGATTCAAAAACTCACTGTTAGTTTGTGTTGTATTGCTATTGATTTCTTGAAGCAGAGTAAGAATTTAAACTGTAAATTGACAGGGGCATACATGAATTTTAATTTTTCTATTTTTTTTTATTTCAAAATGACAACCCATACACACTCACAAAAGAAAAAAAAAGAAAAAAAGAAAAAAAATAATTATAAACTAATAAAACAAATTAAGAAAATGTCAGAAAAGAATTAACTTTTTTCATAATTAAAGAAATGAAACTTTCCTTCCAGAGGTAGGATTTGGCGGAGTATGCGTAACATCTATTGGGGATGGTACCTGCTTATATTCCCTGAACTGTACAGCAGATAAATGTCAGTGTGCAACACCTGCTAACCAGTTCTTTGATTCTACTGTTAATACTTGTAAACAAAGTAAGCTATCTTTGTTTCTTTTTCTATTGTCATAAGAGTATGTTGATTATTTTAGAAAAAAAACTGATCATCTTTTACAAAAAAATATATCAAAGTAATTCACGTGTATCAAATTATATAACAATACATACTCGAATATCCCAATGTTGAGTTTGTGAAGGACACATTTGCTTTAATAGAGTATTTGTTGATTTTTTTTTATTATCTCAAATAAAAATAATCAAATGCTGTTTTGGAAATATGGAAATATATAAACAAACAAATGCAAACACTTTAAAAACTTTAACCTGAAGCGGGACAAACGGACGGACGAACGAACTGACGCACAGACCGAAAAACATAATGCCCCTAGGTGGGGCATAATAAAACAAACCATCTGCAACATAGACGAGAAGTAAAATGCTACATGTTCTTTTTGTCATTTTTTATTCATCGTTTTAAATGTTTGCATTTCAGAGATTGCATTAGAAGCTACCTGTACACCTGTACCTACTGACCAATGCCTAGACGCCAGCGCTGAATGTAAAGCAGACAGTAACAATGCTAATAAATGTCTATGTAAAACAACCCATTACAAGGACGTTAATGGCGCATGCGTTGCCAGTATGTATACAATACATCATATAAAATCTATCAGAAAAGAACGTAAAAATAACTGAATGATGACAAACTGTTCAATCTGTTGTTAAATAAGAAATGCCGTTTTAAGTAGGTATATGAATATTACAAAAACAATGATATAACACATATAAAAACGAATAAAAATAGAGTAATATATATTTAACGTAGGTGCATTTTTGCATCAATTACATGTATAATAAAATTTGTCCGTTAGTACTCGCTGAAGAAAAAAATACTGGATACAATGCGTTGAAATGATCAGCATGGTCAGTGCATGTTTAATGCCTAGCAAACCGCATTTTGATATGAGGACTCGATTAAATTATGAAATCGTTTGTATAATCATGAAACACATTTGATTGGAACAAGATAACTTAGTTTGAAATACCTGCTAACTGTAAGAAAGGTCTTGAAGACAATCTTCTATACGGTGCATGTGTTCAGCTATTTATGTCTTTTGTCTCTTACCGGTTACGTATTACACAAGTATCTCATGAAATAAGAACCGGAACATGCACCGTTATATGTGGGGCGTTAAAATGCAAGTAAATATCAACAAGTACAAAAATGAACAATACCACTCTTAAATAAAGTCGAAACATAGATGTTACGAAGTCATTCAATAATGTTAGGTCCAGCAAACCATTCCCTGCTTTAAGTAAGGAACAAAAGACAACTAACATCTGTGTGAATTTCGTGTTGATACAACCATTTTTTTTCAGCAATCATGTCATTATGACAAAGTGATTACTAAATGATTTCTTTTATAAATTTATCTCTCAATTATTTCCTGTACTCGACCCGCACGATATCAATGTGAATCAACGTAAAGGAGTTCATGTTCTTTTCGCGTGTATTGAAAATCAAAACACAAAGAAATGCACAAAAACAAAAAATGTGCCTGTCCCAAGTTAGGAGCCTGCAATTCATTGGTTGTCGTATGTTGCTGTTTATCATATTTTCTTTGCACATAAATCAGGCCGTCGTTTTGGTAATACATGAAGTCACATTGGACGTCGATTAGAAAGTACAAATATTGGACACTGATTTGCGAACACTGGATGTCGATTTTAGGAACGGACGTCGATAATTATTCGGACGTCGATCCAAGTCTAACATATAGTATATGTTATTCAGGTCTCAGACAGGGTATATAATGTGACATTCCCGACTTAGAGTTTATATTCCCTGAGCCGAAGCCTCTAAGCCAGGAATGTCACATTATATACCCTGTCTGAAACCTGAATTACACATATATTACGGATTACCCTTGCCTTAAAGTTTTGTTCCAGTGCCGAGTATTTGTTAAATATTTACCGTGCCGAATATATATTTTCCGCTTACGTGAAGGATTTGTAATTTGCTGTGAAAATAATGTTATCGTGTATGCAACAGTTTTTAATAACACTTTAAGACATTAATTAAGTATAAGATGTGTAAATCGCGTGGTTTTAAATTAAAAACGTATTATTGACGGATACACGTCATTATTTTCCCTCTGTGAGCCTCTGACGTTCTTAATGTGTTCTGTATAGCCAAAGACTACTGTTAGTTTGTGTTGTATTGCTATTGATTTTGCCGATTGTTTATTACGCTTATTTGATTAGACATGATATTCCATTCAAATTTACCACTGTTGCTTATATGGGTCTCTGGTGAAGAAAATAACAACTAAAATTATAATGAAGGTTCATATATTGTATCATGCCGTTTTAAGTAATTATATATATGAATATTACAAAACCAGTGATTCGTAAATATATACTACCCACAAAATTTTTTCAACGTAACAATGCATACAAAGCACAATCTAGACGAAGTGGTGAATCTGAAACAATACACAAAAGTTGGGAGGGGCACTTTTTTTTTACCCCCGATAATCTCAATGGAAGTGTTGTATTTTAAAAGAAATTAAACAAAAAAAACAGTAATCAAATTAAAGCTAGATCCATTTATTTCGCCTATTTTATAAAAAAAAATTCCGTATTTAAAGAGAACCTCCCATACGGTGCATGTGTTTAGCTATTTATTTCTTGTGGTGCTTACTAGTCACGTAATACACAAGTGACTCACGAAAAAGAACCGGAACATGTACCGTTATATTTGGTGCATAAAAATGCATGCAAATATAAACAAATACAAAAATGACCAATACCATTCCGAAATAATGTCGAAATATAGATTTTACGAAGTCATTCAATAATGTTAGGTCTAGGTTGGCCATTCCCTGCGTTAGATATGGAACAAATGACTTCTTCATGAATTAAGTGTGGATACAACCATTTAATTTAAACGGTCTGGAAGAAGAGTAACAATATAAACTGTTATATGGGCATTATCTAGGAGATATAGAATTTTTTTTTTGGTTCGATCATTAATGAAAGTGAAATAGTGAAATAACAATTCACTTTTAGCAGCCAATTTGGTTCAGTTTTTTCAAAATAAGCAAAGAAACATTACTAGTGAATTATTCACTTGCAAGTGAATAATTCGACCTCATTAAATCCGTATTCATGTGAACTTCAATTGAACCCCTTAGCTAGAGATGGGTTACGCATGAACTATGCGTGTTCAGCTATTAAAAGGAAAAGAATGTTAACATTGATAGTAAGCAAGGGTAAACCATTTGGTTGACTGATTCGATCTAAAAAAACTCATTCTTATACAGGTAAAAACGATTATTAACATATTGTTTTAACCTATAATATGAAATCAAACAGACCTTAAAAAAAATCCAATTTCACGAGTTCGCTATATATTTATATCAATGTTTATGTTTATATCGGATTATATGACCGTCGGCAGTCTTCGGAAGGTCACCTCGATGGTTAATTAAATGGCGTCTATACTAAAATACACACGAAATGCTGATACATAATATCGAGTAAATTGTTTATTTCAAACTTTTCTTTTTGGATATACGTTTTAGTATGTTATAAGTCGAATATGAAAATTTGAGTCAAATCGGTGAACATGAATTTGACAACTAATGCCCCTTTAATTGACCGGGGCTTTACAATGGGTTTTGGTTTTTCTATATTTTTTTTATTTCAAAATGACCACCCCACTACACACAAAAGAAAACAACAACAACCAATTAAAAACACTAAAAAGTTTTATTAGAAACTATTTCTCCATCAAACGTTTTGCTTACGTTGACAGCTGTTTGGTGGGAAAATTGAAGTTCTGATTTCAACTGAATAAGAATCAGATAATATCAGACAACAATTATTCTTGTCATAATTCCAGAAATGACATTTTTCTTTCAGAGGTAGGATTTGGCGGAGTATGCGTAACATCTATCGGGGATGGTACCTGCTTATATTCCCTGAAATGTACAGCAGATAAATGTCAGTGTGATTCACCTACTAACCAGTTCTTTGATTCTACTGATAATACTTGTAAACAAAGTAAGCCATCTTTTTTTCCAATATTATTGTTATAATTTATTAAGCACATCTATAAAGTTGAAAATGTTTTTCAAAATAGATTCATTATAGGAAATTTTGGTACGGACGTTTTTGGAACGTAAATTTACTTCATAATTTTATATAAAATGTTTCGATGACATATTAAGCTTAATATTTCTACCAAATTAATATGACTATCAAATCAAATTCCATTACTAAAAAATACATAATTAACGCTGTGGGCTTTGGCAGTATGTTTATATCAAAGCTAAAAATTTTCCACGTTGAAAGTGTTAATTGTCGATATAGTCTTTAAAAAAACATATATATTGCATATAAAAGTACATTTTGTAAAGCTATGTTATGCTTAATTGTGAATAGTGTAACAGGTTTTACCTCTAACACTCAGAATGCTTTGAAAGATTTTTATTGCTTTTTGAACATAGATATAGTCGTCAATCCTTTGATTTCCTATCGAAGGTCGGTGGTTTCCCCCGGGTACTCCGGCTTCCTCCACCAATAAAAACTGGCCGCCACGAAAAAGCCCAAAAGCGGTGCTTAAAAGTGGCGTTAAAACACCAAAAATCAAATCAAATCAAATCAATCCTTTGAAATGAAATAAATACAAACAGGTCATGACTGGCACTAATTTTAGAGACATTTATATGAAGGATGCTTTTGTTGTTGAATAAGAAAGTTTAAGCTATCGAAAGGTCAATCAGACGACCTGTTAAAGAGAGTATATGGTTTAACAAATTACAATATTAGAACAAAAACAATGAGAGTCAGTTGATAACTAAAATTTACAACAAAAGAGATAAGTTCAACTTTCCAGTTCTTTATGTAGCAATGTTCTAGCAATGCCTGGTTTGCTGTGATGTGGATTGCGTTACTTTCATGATTACTTTCATAAAGGGTTACTGCTGACAATGAATCTATTAAACCAAGCGTACATAATTGTTAAGTTGGCGTCATTTTGTCAAATGTTTAATGGACGCCATCATTATTTAGATGACAGTAATAGAACATCTGTGTAACAGATGATCACGAATATGTTCCACGCGTAGAAATTCAATCCATTTTCCCTCGATTGGGAAGTCGCCGATTGTTTTACTGTTTTACACGGCGGGTGAAAATAGTGAAGCAGGAGCTTCTGACTCTTCCGAAGCACCTGAGGTTACCCCATGATTTGGTAGGATCCGTTATACCACGTGCTTGACGGAGAAGTACCGGAAAAGTAAGAAAACTATCTCCTCGAAAAGTATAATACTAAAGGTTTATGGTCATGGGTAAATAAAAATGTATACATATATTAGCCATGACAGGGGTTTTTCCCTTTTTGACTGGGATCCTAGCAAGTTGAATATTTTTGGAAAGCCTGCGTCAATAGAAGTCATTTGGTACCAAATTTGTTGATTTAGGCCTAAAAATAAAAAAAATGATATGGACATTTGAAGCTATCAGTTTTGGAAAATCTGTCTGCCGATTTTGGAGTTTTTACATATAGGCTTGGAAGAATCAAAATGCTATGTCATGCTGCACATAAAATTCAGTTTAATTGTATATCTATTGTACCAGACACTTGAAGAAATAATTAGAAACCAAGTTTTTTTTAACTGTGAACTAAAAATAAGAAAGATATTGTGTTTTAAGGGGAGATAATTTATTAAGAAAATGCCAAAAAAAAATAGAACTGTGATCCCAATCACTTAGGATACCACCAGCTGCCCATTAATTCTCATATTTCAATCTTCTCAAGTTAAAGTTTTCAGAATAAATTAATATTTCTTCCTGCACATCTACACATAGTATACTACCTTAAGGTAAAGTTTTATTGAAATCCATTAAATGGTTTAGGAGGAGTTGCGCTTATGAGACTATTACCATACATTGCATTATTAAAATAAGTAAATTCGTTTTTGCCCTTTCAAAATTTAGGACTTGGTTTATCTTCCTTCATGCACATCCCCAGAAAGTGTTCTTCATTGTGAAAAGTTTCATCAATATCCGACTTGCCGTTTAGGTGTTGTGATTACAAGGTACATCGACAGACTGACGGACGGATAGGATGATTCTAATATGCCCCCCCCCCCCCCCCACAAAAAAAAAAATTTGCTTGCTGGTATGACCAATTAGCAAAAGACAATATCAGCATACAATTCACTAATTTATTCCATAATGGACAGCAATAAAAGAAATGTCTACAGAAATACAGTATACTTGATAAATGTTATGTTCATCATATGCTATTATGATCCACATTCAAACAACTATTCTCAAATCCCCCTTTTTATAGTCCTCCAAGAGTGTGTAGGTGTAGATGGCAAGATCACCAGAATATTTTATATTGTACCAACTAGGAAATCCCGGAACCTGCAAGAAAATGTGCAATATAAAGTTTTGATTAAATGACCTTAAAGAAATATCTGTGTTTACGCTAACCAGACCGACCCTATTTTTTTCGGCCTATCCTTATATATATAAACTAGAACACACCCGCGAAATCGCGGGCATTTAGAGCGTGGTTGAAAGTATATGAACTATTGTATGATGAATTTTTGTAAAAGATTTTATGACTGGAGAATTTCAGGAAAGGTATCAAAAATCATAGGTACTTGGGGACAGGCCAATTTGTGTCAATCCTCCCCTTTTTTCCAAAGTCTCTTATTTTTTTATTTTCTGTTAATTTCAATTATTTTCGCGTTTTTCTGTATACTATGAACAACATATACTATAAGTAAAGTGTATTTGCTATTTACTATCAATTCCAAGTTTACTGTCAAATGACTGCTCTCTATATGATGTATCAGTGAACGCCGTAGATAGTAAACTTTGAATTGATAGTAAATAGCAAATACACTTTATATACAGCATATGTATTTTCATAGTATACAGAAAAAACAAGAAAATAATTGTCTTGTCCCCAGGTACTTATGAAAATTATGTTTAATTTTAAAACAGTCCTAAATGGAAGTCTTGTCTATGACCTAAAAGTCCGTCCGATGACGGAAACAATATCCGGACGCCTTTATTTTCGTTTTCTTCCCAAAATAACCCAAACTGAATAATATATATATATATTTACAAGTCTAAATTCAAAACAACGTTCAAACCTGATTGCGTTGGATAAAAACCGCATTTTTTATACGTGTGCATGCAAAACAAATTTCTTGGTAGAGGGGTCTAAATACAGCACAAACAACATTTTCAAAAGACCAAAACAGTGAAAAAGTATATTTTAACAAAACGCATTTGACTAGCAGGTCAAACAACGGATGTTCTTAAACCCTGCTGACAACCATGGCATAAGGAAAAGTGCTTTTGATATTGCTGTTCTTCATCTTTAAATTTGCAGTAACACCTTCAACACGGACTTCCACCATTCTCATTTTAATTACCTGTGATATGACTTGCCCAAAATACCACTTGGTGTTTGCAGATTCTTCAAATCCATGTTTCACCTTTTTACCAACACTAATAGTGTCATTGTCATTTTTATTGATTTGAATTGTATATGCACGTCTTACAAGTTTCTTTATATTTGAAGTGAATTTAACGATAGTAAACTTTTGACGTTTTCCATTTACAATACTTGACTGATTATAGACATTAGACTGATCATCAACGGTTTGTTTTAATACATATTTTCTGAAGTTTAACTGTGCTGTGATTACTTCTATTTTGTCTATTTTGGTTTTTAGTCGTAACAAAGATTGGTCAACTTCTTCTTCACTCTGCCATAAACCCAAAATCAACACTTGATTTGTATAATTTTCTACTTTTTTCAGTTTAGCCTCATTCTTTTTCTCTGTTTCCTGTATTTTTTGTTGAAGAATCTGTTGTCGTGCTAGTTCTATGACTTTTTTCCTTGCTTTAAATTTTTCTCTCCTTTTTTTCTCATCCTTTCTAGCCATTTCCAATAAAGTGTGTCTCTCTCCAGCTTGTTTATCTGACAACCATTCTAGTGTTTTGTTGTGACAAAATAACACATATGATCCCATTGATAATACTGTAGAATTTGGGTTTTCTCTGATAAATCTGTCTAAATATCCGGAAACGGACTCACAAAATTTGTTGTGTTTTGGTGCTGCCAATGTTTTATATTTCTGATCTTCGTTGGGATTGTCCCATTTCCCGCCAACAAAATGATCTGCAAGTAGCCGTTTTACGACTCCTGTTAATGCAGTAATTAGCATCTGAAGTATGAAATGAACCTTGTCATCATGCTCCCAAGGCTTTACTAAAGATACAACTATTCTAGAATTCAAAACTTTTTGTCTATCAACACGGGTCATTAAGTATTTTCCTTCTACAAACTTTTGGTAATCCATTTCTTCAAGGTAAGCGACCAGTTCTTTAAAATGTACCCCTATATCCATTATGCTGATGTTAGAAACTTCTAAACAGAACCAAAGAGGTATAGTAATAATTTCTGATATTAATCCAAGAGCCTTACAACCAGCTAGATACTCAGGAATTTGCAAGTCAAACTGAAGAGCCAGAAGGAGTCTGTTGGAAGCCCCGGCCTCTAAATATGCAGATATTTTATCTGCTTAGAAAAAAACATTACTAGCTGCTGCAAATATTATGTTGAATCTGTTGCCTCTGTATCTTTCAGGAGGAATGCTTCTAAGTTTATGAGTGGCTAGAAAATTGTCTATGTATGTTTCAAAATGAAGGTGTGCACCGTTTTTCTCGTCTCCTCCACGAGCAAACGCCTTGCTAGCTATCCGTATCAGTCTTACCGCCCCAGGCTCAGTGGCTTTTGAAAAACTTTTATCTAAGATTTGGGTGTTCGGTACCAAAGAAACCCTTATCACTTTCTTTCAATGTTGAAGCAGCAGCTTCAGCCATATGTACCAATAAGTTTAAACTACAAAAGAAATTACTGAGTTTTGAAATTGCCTCTTGTTCATTTAATGAAAGTGTTTCCCATGTATCTACCATTTTTTTCTTTTAAGACACTTGTTCGATATTCTTCCAAGAGTTCTTTAAACTTC